GGAAGATGTGGTCCACAGCTCCACTGCCGTATTACTCGGCCTACAAACCGAGTCGGAGGCATGAGAAGGCCGCCACCGGTGACAAAGATTCCGCGCCGCCGTCCTCCATCAATATCAGACAGCAACAAGCACCTCTTTCTCTTCTCTCAACCCAACAACACCACCACCACCACCACCACCACCACCAACACTACCACCCTGATCACGTCACTGATTTGTTCGAGCCTGCTCTTGATGGACCGCCATCGCCGGAAAGGATCCGTTCCCTGAGCAAGCAGATGAGGAGGGCCTCGGCTGCCGACAAGCACAAGAGCCACGCAACCACGTCCTCTGGCTCGACGTCCTCACTGCTCTCACACAACTCGGACCGGTCTTGGGAGCACACCCTGGAAACCATCACCCTCTCGAGACGTTCGTCTGGCCGATCGACCTCGAGCAACATGCAGCTCCGAGACCGCCCAGAGAGCGTGCAGCTCTTTGGCAAGTCCATCTTTAACCGCAGGGCCAGGTTGAAGCGGGAAAGCACCAGCAACCAGAGTTCCTCTGAAGCTTCTTTATACTCCGGTGAGCTTGCCCTTGATGGCCCATTCTCGACAACCAAGGACCATTTCATCCCATCCATTTTCGGCCGTCGCAGAACTCTAAGACAGGACGACTTAGATGCCACCGACTCGGCCATGGGACGAAAGTTGCAAATATCGGGCCCCTACAACTTCCAACACGTTACTCATACCAAGCGGGACCACCTGCCGGACCTTCAACGGGGCAGCCGTGCCGAACTGGTGACCGAGTTCTCCGCCATCCGCGCTGGCCAACGACCGACCACCGGCCAGCCCAGGGGATTCGAGGTCGAGGACCTGCACTTTGCCAACTTCTCGTCCGAAGCGCTGCACACGCAACGAGCCACCGCCCCGACCAGCGAACCTCGCGCAGAGCCCTCCAGCCGCCCGCTTATCCTTACTAGGCGCTTGGCCAAACGCACGCGCTCCCAGGAGCAACTTCGCCCGAGCCCGCCACGGCCAGCGCCCCCGCGGCCGCCCAGGTCGCCCATCCGCGAGGAGCCCATGTCCCCAACTCTTCCGGCCTCACCCCCTCCCCCGCCCAGGTCATCGAGCCGGATCGCTACGCGCTACACGGCTTCCCAGGACTCCATCGCCACCACCGACAGCAACCCGGAACGCCCCCAGACCAGCGGCGGCTCCCAGCATCCCGGCGCTCCCTTTGATTTGGGGGCGGAAGCCGTCGAACCCCCGGTCGCCGCCCAGGGTATCCCGTCATCCGGCGAAGGTCTGGAGGCGCCGGCAGACCCGCCATTCTCCCACGCAATCACAACCCCTGACGACGCGGCATGGCCGCTCACCGCTAGCACCAGCTTCTCTTGTGAGGGGGCGTTGCCCGACGTGCCCGAAGAGGAGGAGCAGTATGTCCCGCCTGGAGACTCTTGCGGCAGCTTGCCCAGCACGCGGTCATCCCTCCGAGGAAGTCAGTCGGTGCCTGTTCTACGAAAACTAGCGCAGACGCAAGACGAGTCGGAACGGCCACTGAGTGGCGCGTCGGACACACTGGGCAGCTTCGACATGTCTGCTGCACAAATTGCCCTACAGGAAGTCTTGGAGACTGAAGAAGTGGCCGAAGCCTCTCGCCCGGCCAACTGGGAGGACGATATCGACTACTGCTACGAGCACGAGGCCGAGGCCAACTGCGACTATGCATGGGACCGCCCGTCGTTGGACCTCGTGAGGGAGAGTTTCGTCGAGTCATCCTTTCACGACAACACCTTTCTCGTAGCGCCGCTGTCAACCGGGTTGAAGCCGGCACCGAGCGACTATGCGGACAATCTCCCGGCACTGAGCCCCGCCAGCCAAACGTCTCTGAACGGCCACGAAGCCATCACGCCGACCATCGCAACGTTGCCTGTGAAGTCCAACTTTTCCCACCCCAGAAAGGAGACAAACTACAGAGGAAACGGGCACCTCCACGTGAGGACGGCATCGCAAGCCTCGAGCTTCAAGGAGTCCCACGGCTTTCACCTGTCGCCGTCACTCCTCATCCCCGGGGATTTCCACCAGCAGATGCGGGCCGACTCCGACACGGACGCGTTCCCCGTGAACATTCCGAGGCAGAACTCGGGTCACTTTTCGTTTGACGAAGAGCCGGCCTTGACGATTGAAATGCCGGGCCTGTTCTCCAGAGACCGCGCCAGCACATCGACGACCGGCAGCACCTCTTCGGGCCGGTCCAGCTCGACCGGCGCGCGCCACGCCTCTACCAACTCGACGTGGACGGCGCTGACGAGATACACGGGAAGCACAACATTCGAGGGGTGGAACCCCAAGACCGAAGGCAGCGAGCACTCGCGTTCGTTCAGCACCGACGGCCTATCCGAGCTCGCCCTCGGTTCGCCCAGGGGACAAAAGTCCACCATGACACCGCTGCCCGAGTTCGAGGAGGCCCTGGCCATGTCGCGTTCTACGGGCGACATCCGCGTCGCTTCGGGACGTCTTGATGCCAGTCAGTCTCAGGAATACCTCCCGCTCTCCAAGACGAGAGAGTTCCCCAAGAAGCACCAACGCCAACGCGCGCAAACGTTGAGCGCCCCGCCGCCTTCCGGGCAGTACGCCCTCTTCCCGCCCACCTACTGCGGCAACCGCATCTAATGTCTATCCATGACAGCGTGTTATGCCAATGATACCATACAGAAACACCCTACGGGATCTCCAAACCAGTCATATTCCACACACACGCACACACACACACACACACACACACCTCGCTGGCCTTTGGCGAAGCGACACGGTCTCGGGTCGCACCAAGCGGCGGCGCATGTCACGTTATTGTTTGTTTCCCGACATTTCATGGCAGCGCTTCAAGACTGCCGTGATTCGACATGGACATTTTCCTGGGGCATATTCGGAGGAGTTTCACGGATTCGATACTTATTTTGCACACATCGTGCCTACATAGACCAACAGGGCCCATCACCCATTCCGACCAACTACTATCACTGCCGCAATTCGGCACCACAACATTTCCTTTTTGTCTACTGGCCCTTCTCGGAAGGAGGGGGTGGGAACAGCGAAGTACCCACCATCACCGCTGCCACTACTACCACCACTACAACGGGCTCACTTGAATGTTCCGGCATCTTTTTTTTTTCCTTTTTTTCTTTTCTATTTTTTTCTTTTTTTTCTTTTCTTTTCTTTTCTTTTTTTTCTTTTTCCTCTTTTTCTCAACAACACATATGCTACCACCGCTATTCGCCGATTAATGTTATTTTGTTGTACCAAAAGGAGCCTGAAGGCGAGAGAGAGAGCGGTGCTGACTCCGAAAAGGGGCTGGCACGGAACCTTCGCTGGATATGATATGATGGACTCATGACGGGGAGAGGGAAGGACGATATATATAAAACAGGGCCTCAGGGTTTGAAAAGATAAACATTTATATCCAAAGAGGAAAAAAGAAAGAAAAAAAAGAAAAAAAGAGAGATATGGGGGATCAAGGAAAAGGGCTTAATCCGGGCCGGATGATAGATGGGAGGCGCGGTGTGAGTTTGTTTGTACATACGCGTCGGGAGGGGCAATAAAGTCCCAGGGGGAACCAGCGGAGAGAAGAGTTACAAAACATGTTCCAAATAAGGAGCCGGCAACTATTTATTTCATGGCAGGCTTGGAAGCATACTCCCCCTCCCTAGGAAAAAAAATCCCAAAGGGCTCTCCCGTTTGGACTTTGAATAATTCAAACAACTTGTCAAACGCTGTCCGTACTGATTGAATCACTTTGACTCGCTGGTGTTTTTTTTATGGTTGTTTTTTTTTAAAAAAAATATTTATCAGTCATGTTTGTCTGGCTGGTAGGAGCCATTCGGTCAGTCGGCGATGCTTAAGAGTGAGATGAGTAACGCAGCCCTAGCGAAGGGGAGGTCGAGTGCCGGCGTCCACTTTGAGCCTTGGTTCCGGCCTGTCCTCCATCATCACATTTCACGCTTTTCTGCCGGAGGACGGGACACACGAGAGATTGAGAGAGGATGGACGAAGGGGGAAAAGGGGGGGGGGGGGAGGGTTTGTGCAAGACCTCAAATTTCCCGGATGGCCGGCCGGCCCATAAGGCCCTTGTTCGCATGACACGACGAGCCGTACGGAGAAGGACGCGCCGGCAACGAGCATGTCACTGCAGCCAGCCTGCCAGTCAGTCAAAGCCAGGACAAGCAAATTCCTGCAAGTTGCCCACGCGTGACAACTTGGTGCTACATGACACAACCTCTTCTAGATGTCAGCAGTATACGGGGGGGGGACAAATGGCACTACCGCCGCTTACCAATCCCCCTCGTTCACTGGTAGATTCCTTCCCTCCCGCTCTCCCGTTCTCCCGTTCTCCCGATATATCCACCGTTCTGTCGTCCCGCGTCTCCACCGCAATTTCTCCCCCCCCCCCCCCCCCCCCCCCCCCAGTAAGGTTCTGCATCCGTATCCCCTAAGGCGTTATTGGTTTGCGCGCGATGACTGACTAATCACTATCTTCGGGGTGGAGTGGAACAGCCCTTTCTGTGCGCCGGTAGTTCGTCCGTTTGGGGAGGGATTCGACAAAAAGTATAAGCGAGTCGATCCGAATGACTAGATGAAAGAAATCAAAAAGAAAAATGAGGGGGAAAGAAAAAAAAAGGTGGAGGAAAGATGAAGCTAGGAATCCCATCAGCGTGTAGTGCCTCCATTCAGCGATCAGTCTAGGTCTCTATACTACCTAGTGTAAGACGGGAATAAGTGGTCGGGCTAATGGCTGCCCCCTCACACACACACACACACACACAGCGTGCCATCGGACGCCCATTGCTTCCCTCCGGCACCACTTCCTCCGAGATTTCGAGCTCACGCCCCCTCCCCCCTGACGTACACAGCGTGGATGGCTTTGCTTCACGCTCCGGAAAGCAGGCTGGGCGGGACTGTGACAGAGATAGAGGTAGAGATAGAGAGAGAGACGACCGGCGCGGGGAAGCCAATTGGGACCTAGGCATTGCTCCAAGAGGACGCGCTTGTCTCGCCCATGACCGCCTCCTTCTCCAACGTTTCCAGGCTGCGCAGCAGCTCGCCGCGTTCGCGGTGCAGCGCCTCCCGCTCCTGCTCCAGGCTCTTGATGTGCCGGCGCGCCATGTCCAGCACCTCGGCCTTGCTGACCCGCCGCTCCTGGTCCGCCTGCTGTGACGGGTCTGACTCGTCGCCGTTCCCGGCGCCGGCTCCGGCCGAACCGCGCACCTGCTCCGGCAGGGCGTGGAGAAGCCCTTCGAACTGGGCGTTGAGCCGGTTCCGGTACTGCTTCTCGACCAGGTTGTGTGTCGCGCGCGTCCGCCGCTCCTCGGGCGTCTCCGTCTGCTTCTGCGACTGGTTCTTGGACGTGCGGGAGGCGCTGCGCAGGCGCGGTGGAGCCGGCACCGCCGCTTTGCCGCTCGAGCCGGCGGAAGAGCCGGCCGACGAGACGGCCGAGGCGGACTTGATCGATCGGCCGCTGACGCCGGTGCGGTCCGCGGGGTTGGCGGGCCCTCCTCTTCCGTCGTCGTCGTCGTCGTCGTCATTTTCGTCATTGTGGTCGTGGCCGCCCTCGGCGCGGCGTTTGCCCTTCCTCTCCTGCCTGCGAGCCCCGGGCAATGTCTTGTGCGCCTTGCGCGTCCCTGCGGCCCCGCGGCCCCATGCCTTCGGCACTGCGCTTTCCTCGTCGTCCCGCGAAGGGTCCCTGACGTCGCTGTCGGTCTCCATGCTACCTTTGCCGTGCTTTCGGGCGTCGTGGTTCAGCTCGGCTGCGGCGACGGCTGCAATGCTGGGCGTCAAAGTAACGGAGCTGCTGTCATGAACCCCAGGCCGCCACGGCGAAGGATGGAGGCCCAAGTTGGTTGTTGGCGGTTGCCGGTTCGCTGCGGAGGAGAGTGGCGTGATGTCGGCGTATTCTTGGCCAAGGAACAACGGCTCGCCCTGTGGCGGTGCAGCAAACACGAAATCGTACAAGTGACGGCCGATGCCGATGCTGTCGCTGCTGTCATCGCCCGGACCTCCTGCAGCAGGAATGGTGGCAGATGGGTTGACGCTTGCTGCTGCCGTGGCGGAGAAGGAGGGGGGAGAAGACGTCGCATCGGCGTGCTGCTGCTGCTGCTGCTGCTGGCTGCCATGGTACACAGGGACCACTCCATATTCGCGCGGGAGCCATGCGTCGGGCTGTTGCTGTTGGTCCTGCGGACGGAGCAGCGGCGGCGAGCTCTGCTGATCGGCCAGAGACGTTGCCCCTGGACCGGATTGGTGTTGGTGGGCATAGTCTGCATGCGTCAACCCCAGTCCCAGGGCTGAATGATGGAGCTCATGCTGTGGCAGCTGATGCTGTAGATCTGAGACCTGGCGTGATTGCACCCTCGCAACGGTGGCCCTGGTCGGTTCGTCAAAGGCGTTGGGGCGATTGTGGTCTAGACTCAACAGAGTGGGCTGATTACCGGGCCGGGTGGCGTGGTGCGGGCGGTCGCCAAAGTCGAGAGTTCCTCCGAAAATATCGGGAGGAAAGTGCGGGGGCATCGGCGTCGATGCCATCATCTGCTGATTGAAATAGTGGTCAGACTTGGTTCTCTTTCTCTTTTTCACTCTCTTCCTCTTTCTCCCTCTTCCCTCTCGTCCCTCTCTCCTCTCCCCTTCTTTCTCTCTCTCTCTCTCTTCTCTCTCCTCCCCTCTTCCGCGGACAACGAGTCCCTCGAAAACGACGCTCGTTCTTCTCCCCCCTCAGACTCATCGTCATATTGTCTCGTCAGCTGCTGGAAATATCACCCCATTATGGATGACACGTGAATTTTCGGCTCCCTTAGACCTCCGCCAGCCGCCCACACATATACCCATCTTTGGGACGAGCATTACGAATATCTCCTCCTATATGTGAAAAGTTGAATGGTTTCACGGTCATGGCTTGACCTGTCACCGAACCCTCGGGAGGGCTTGGCTCATCTCGATGCTGCGGTGTCGTTTTGCATGCCCACTTTCAGCCACTTGGTCTTACAGTTCTTTCGCCATATCCTGCGCCACCTATACTAAGCGGAACAGGCGTGGCGAAGGAAGCATTGGCCAAACTGAACCGGCTGTGAGAGACTAGCCCCCTTCCTGATGGCGATATATCGCCTCGAGGAGGAAGGGGCCAGCCGAGAGTGCGAGTTGATGCCCGGCATGATTCTACTTACTTCCGGATCATCCACGAAATACTCGTAGAAGGGGTTGTTGTTCGGCGTGTGAGCCATCGTATCGTCTTGCGAGTGGTGTCGAAGGGTTTTTGGTTTGGCTCGAGAACCCCCTTTCGAGTCCTACCGTCCGGTTGCAGAGCAATGCAAAGTCGATGGTGATTTATACAGTTTTTAACTTGAGTTTTCGAAGCTTCGACCTCGTTCCCGTAGCTACTCTCGTCCCTAATCCGAGTAAAAGGCATCCAATCCACTAGTGGCCAAGATCGGGCAACGGCAAGCATGTCAGCCAAGGTTAGATGACTCCGGTAAGGCGTCCTGCCAGGCAATCCCAGTGGACGCAGGTTGTCGTCAAGATCAGCCAAGCAAGCTCCTAGTTGGTGCTGCAGACCAGACGTCACAACACCCTACGGGGATTCGATAAGAAACAGTGGGCAATCGGGAGACAACTTGTGATGCGGGTCGCCCATGTGCCGCTCCCGTGGAGTGGCTTTGATCTGCAGCGGGCCACCCTTCTCTCGGGCTAGGGGTCCAACAGGGTCAGCCGACAGCGGCAGAGGCTCAAGTGAACCAAACAAGTGGCAGTATCGAAGTGTGGCTCGGTATCGTACGTCGGCGGGATGCGAGTGCAATGTGGCCGGGCCCTAAGACGTCGGTAATCGGAGGATCGGGGTGGCTTGGATGTTCGACAAAGTCACTCTACTACAGGGCTGTCGCCGACTGAAAACCCCAAAATAAACACTGCTGTGTCGGAGACGGTGCAGAACATACCTGGCTGTGTCTTGCGTCGCCCACTGGCTCTGGCGGATGCCCCGGGTTTCGGTGCCGTCGTTCCTTTTGAGACCTCGATCTATACGGCCAGCGCGGTTAGTGTCTCCTCGCCTCCTTATTTGTACAGCAAGCTGTCCGCTGCTTGTTCAGGGGGCAAGTTCTCCTTCACTCCCTCTCTCTCTCTCTCACCCCCCCCCATTTCTTCATCGCGCCACTATCCTCACCGAGCTTGTGGCCCCCCTTCAGTCAACGACAGCGTCCGTTGTCTGCTTGTTTTGGCTTCGTTCACCCCTCTCCCTTTTTTTTGTCTCGTCTGATTTCATAGTCAACTGTTCTCTCCGGTTCGACTTACCAGTTGTGGCAAGTCTAGTAACTCGTCACCTGCCACCGCGCCTTCTCCCTCGCCTGAAGTCTGTCAGCTCTCACGTTCGGTCCGTCACTGAAGTTCTTGAGGCCGCCCCTTGACCTATTCTCTTTTCCTCGAGGGGGGGCCAGGGCGGGCTTTATGAGGTTAGGGTTCAACAGACCGACTAGTCTATGGGCCGGTTCTCATGTGAGCTCGGTTACGCCGCTTGATGGATTCGCGGCCGTTGGCCGACAAGGGCGGCATGAGGCACGGGAAGCCCCCAAGATTCGTGCAGCACGTACGTGGAATTTCTGGTCCAATCCCAAGCAGCAGCTTGCGCGTGCACCTGACACTGCCTCTTTGCAGACGCAGCTATACCCACAGTAGCCTGCATGGTGCAGCTGGCCTTGCCGTTTCTGCGTGTTAACCAGTGTCTCGTCTGGAGGAAAAAATCAATCTTGGGAGCCGCTGCTACTACGCCAGCCCGAGAGAAAAGAGAACCCCTGCTTCTCGTCATATCCAGGAGCAGCGATATCGTATCTTGAGCGAGAAGGAGCTATTGGAGGTCTGACTCAAGTGGTCATGAATCCTGGAGGCTCGTATCAGGGATCCGGTTAGGTTGACGACAAGTGTCAAGGCACGAGTGGACTGACAAGTGTCGAGGCAGTCTTCGTTTTTTTTTTGTTTTTTTTTTATTCCCGCCCGTCACTCCGTTGGCCACGGTCTCCGCTTGGTCTCGAGATCTGAAGAACCTCCGAAATCTCTTTTTCATTAGGTCATGGTGCGACTTCGAAAGGTGACAGCCCCAACTAGAATATCGTGTCACCTTCTTGTGCTCTCCAGGCACAAGAGAATTTCTAGTTAGAATATGTGCGTGTTGGGTGGTCTTGGTTTCCATATGTTGTCGAGGCCGTACCCAGGACCGCGATGACCTCGGTTCCGAGGAAAGAACAACTTTTATCCGTGGCTGACGGGGGGAGAGTCATGTCCACGTGTGGATTCAGCGAACCCTGGACTGCCTATATCTGTATGTTGTCCGGCAAAACCCTTGTGCTCCCTTCGGAGACGGGCCAAAGTCCAGGGTTCGGCTTACGGGAAGCCGGGATTGTTGCCCTGCCGTGCCGTCGTTGGCCAGGCTGACAAGCTTCGTAACGGTCAAGGCCCTCTCATCCGTCACTGTTTGTGGTGCTTGGGCTGCCCAAGAATCTTGGTTCCCTTGTCCATCTGCTGTCCAGGGGTCGCCTTCGTGGCGTGTTTCCGTCCCTGCATATATAGAACCCTCGGCTATCTATTCCGTTTTTGTTCCCGTCTTAGGGCTTGATGCAACAAGTCACGCAGCTGATCCATGAAATCCCATCGGGCTGACTGGAGCACGTTGTCGTCAGGTGTCGCTCAGCTTGCTAGTATTTTGAAGATTCATGTAGCGTGCTATCCCGGCCAGTGGTCTCGTGGTTTTGCGGCTCCAAGATAAGCCTGGCCTTATACCCGAAACGTCGTCGTCAAGCGTGGACAATTGCTTCCTTACTTCAGGTGCTTCTGTACCCTCGAAGGAAGGTCGGCGAGTGGTCCGACCTCGTCGGAGGTGATTTATATGTTATCCCCGCTCATATGGCCCAATCCCTCGACCTTCCCACCCTGCGCATAATGTACTTGTACAGTACATGCACTGGGAACCGAACTCCCCCCCCCGTGCCTTAATGGCGTGTTGTTGTTGTGTTGATGAGCATTAAGTACAGGCAAAGCGTATTGGCTTGCTCACCTGTGGTTCTAGGCTCAGATTAGCACGCATGTTTGAAGGTCTTACATGGTAGTGGGGGAGATGGACCTCAATGGGTGAAGTGTTGCAACGGGCCGCACCTGTAAAGGCCTAGGGTAGCCTTCAATGTGATGGGGCGCACCGTTAACGAATTGGACTCGCTGGCCTGTTCATTTTCTACCCAACTATTTTGATTCTGGGTCATGATCTCCTCAAAATCCATCTCCCCGAAATCCATATTCCAACCACCAAGGTTGTCTACGGCGTCATACAAGACGCCAGAGGAAATCTTTGCCTCCTCAAGAATCACTCCCTACGCCCCTTTGCCCACTCCCTGAGAACGTTCTTCTTCAGTTTACCCGTGCTAGTCTTGGGAAGCTCGCCGACCACCTCGACCTCGCGAGGTACCATGAACTTGGAAATATTGCTCTGATGCTTCGCCCATATGATCAGGTCCTCCCCCTTTATAGTCTTACCTTCTTTGACCGTGACATAGGCTTTAGGTCGTTCGCCCCAGTGAGAGTCGGGTACTGCGATAACGGCCGCTTCGAGTAGGTCGGGGTGCTGGACGAGCATGCCCTCAAGGGCCACAGAAGAGATATTCTCACCCCCTAGGGCCTCGTTAGCATCGACGGCACGACGAAGCACGAGAATGCTTACCCGAGATTATGATATCCTTTGCCCGATCAAGGATCTGAGCCGAACCGTCCGGGTGCCAGACCGCCAGATCTCCCGAGTGCAACGCGCCCCCATCGAACAACTTTCTGGTTGCCTCGGGGTCCTTGTAGTATTCCTTGGCGCAGATATTGCCGAAGAACACAATCTCGCCAGTCTCTTTGCCATCCTTTGCCACATCAACGAGAACACCCTCCGGTTGATCCGTCTTGACTATACGGATGGGAAGGCTCGTCACGAACCCGTGACCCTGACGAGCCATCTTGGCATACTTCTCGCTGGACGGGAGGGTTTCCCACGACGGCATAGGGTAGCCTTTGGTGATGGGTCCATACGTCTCCGTCATTCCGTACACGTGGACGGGGAAGAGATTCAAGTTCATCTGTCTGCGTCAGAGCCATGCCGACGCAGGTCACGGGCTTCTGCGCATCCACTTACCATCTGCTCAAAAAGATGCGCGCTCGGCGGACTGGCTGCCACTGTCACCCGAACCTCGCGAGGCAATTTCTCCGCCTCCTTTGAAGAGCACAAGAGAGTGTTGACGGTTGGTGCCGCCTGCATATGCTGCGTCAGAGCTTGAATGGCTTTATTTCTTTTGATGGTGATGCTTACGTTGAAATGAGTGACGCCTTCCTCCTTGAGGAGTTTCCAGATGAGAGGATAGTCGATCTTTCTCAGGCAGATATGTGTACCACGTACTGCCGTCACCGCCCATGGACTAAGGTAGATTAGTGCAAGAACAGGAGTAGACAACGGTGTATCCTCTTACAAAGTCCAACCAACAGCGTGGAACCTTTGACGAGTTAGCAGGGCCCTACCCGGGCGGAACAAGTCATGACTTACATGGGGAGGGTCCATAGCTGCATTGCAAGGGAGCGTGGTCAGCATCAGATTTGCAGGAAGCTGGATCTTATGGCCCTCACTTACAAATTTGCAGCGTCCATTATGATAGTTCAATCCCGACTCAATGACGTTTCCCATGGCTGTCAAAAGCGCCAATTATCAGCGCATGTCAACCACAACGCATGGGTATTAGGATAATACGCGTGTAAGATGGAGGCAATGAACAAACGCAAGACACATACTGGCCAAGTAGGCTCCCCGGTGGGTGTATACGACACCCTTGGGCCGGCTCGTGGTTCCCGAGGTGAACGGAATGGCGAGCATATCATCCTCGTTGCCACACTGGGAGTGAAGTCCCGCCCATCCCTGGCCATGGAGACTGTCATACTGCAGCCCCTCCAGGACTGCATCGTCGAAGGGGCCACTCAATTCTCCCTCAGTGGCATCAGTGTCCGTGTCGACGATGAAGGGCACGTTTGGGTGCTTCGCCTTAAACTCATCTAGCAAAGGGACGAACTCGTGGTCGACGATTATAGAGTCAACCTCGGCAAAGTCAAATATGTATGTGATGTCATCCGGCTTCAGTCTGTAGTTGACACCCACATTGACCCCCCCAGCGGCAGCAATTCCAAAGATGGATTCGAGAAAAGCTGGAGTATTGGGCGCCAGGATGCCAACCCTCTTGAGGCCGTGTTTCTTAAGATAGTAAGCCAGACCACGTGCTCTGTCGGCGAATTCCATGTAAGACCGTCGCAAGGTTTGGCCGTTGGCCGTTACGTGGAAGATGGCCTCGGCATCTGGCTCTATCGCTGCGGCACGCTCAAGAAAGAATGTTGGGGAGAGTTGGTGAATATGGTGCTTTGGTTGAGGCTCATCCTTCTTCGGTGCAGACGACGAAAGAAGGTGTCCGAGTATATTCTTGAGTCGAGACGGAGGGCTGGACATGGTAACGGTAGTCAAGGGAAATGCGGTAGCAATGAATCTAGAGAGATAAGAGATCGATATGGCACTGCGCGTAAATGGCTTTGATCGGAAAATGACGTTGCCCCCAAGCACAAGTACCTACTGCAGATGAGGAGCGAGAAGAAGTAAGGGTTCCCCCAGCGTGACGGCGGACACTGTGCCGTGAGGGACGTTCCGTCTCCTTTTACCCGGTTGCCATGCATGTCTACATACTACGCCAGTTGCCCACCTGTTTGAGACACTTTGCACTCGACTGTGCGTGCTACAGCTCCATCTAGTGTAGCTCATGCCCCCCAAGCTTCAACCTAGTTTATAGCCGGTTGTCCTCGGTTGAAATTACCCCACATTTGGCAACTTGAGCCCACCAAGCAGGCTGGGGTGAACTCTAAGCCGTATATGGAAAGCGTGTGATTACATAACCATACCTTCCAGCGAAGCACCCATTCTTTGCCTTACTAAGTTACTAGTAGTGATAGTGCACGGACCCCCTGCCACTTAACAGAAAGTCGCGTCGTCGCCGTGCCACCGACCACGCCTGTAGCCTTGCGCGACAAGGAGAGCAGCGCCGCGCGAACCCAATACCCGAAATTTTTATCACTGGCAACCCTCTAAGCAATCCCTTCCACCCGTCCAGACCATCTGCAACCCGAGCTGGACGTCGCTCACTCACCTTTTTCGTCCAGTCGTCCCTCCATCTGCAGCAGAACTCGCCCGTCCCGACGCACATTATTGCAACTTAGCTTTTCGATCTCTCGTTGGCAACCATGGCAGCTATGTGAGTGCGCACCTCGAGCTCTTACTCTTACCCTGCACAGATACCACCCCCTGCGACCACCCGTCTGGTGGTTGCCCTTCCTTATTCTTCGCCGCAAACTTGCGCAGCACAATGTCTTTCCGATCGTCATCACGCGCATTCAGAGCATTCGTCTTGCCATCATCAAACTGCAGTGGCTAACAGGATGCCTCCTTCTAGCGAGAGTTTCGATAGCATCTACCTGGACTTATCCAAGGAGAGCGGCAAGTGCAGATTCGCCGAGAGTGGCCTCGGATGGAAGCCTGCCGGCGGCGGCGACACCTTCACCCTTGACCACAGCAACATCGCCTCAGCGCAGTGGAGTCGAGCTGCCAAGGGCTACGAGATCAAGATCCTCAACCGAGACTCGCGCATCATTCAACTCGATGGATTCCAGCAAGAGGTAACGACACGTTCCCTACCTCCCCAGTAAGTGGGGGAAGCCGAGCTAATTGAACACCCGGCGTGCAGGACTACGAGCGCCTCGCAAAGATTTTCAAGAATTGGTACAGCACCGCCCTCGAGAATAAGGAGCACGCCCTGAGAGGATGGAACTGGGGCAAGGCCGAATTCGGAAAGGCCGAGCTTTCCTTCAACGTCCAGAACCGACCTGCTTTTGAAATCCCTTACTCCGAGATCTCAAATACCAACCTGGCAGGTCGCAACGAAGTCGCCGTCGAATTCTCTGCCCCGACGGACCAGAACGATACCGGCACGAATGGCCACTTGGGCGGCGCGCGAGGAAAGGGCAAGAAGGCCGGAGCCGGCAAAGATCAGCTCGTTGAGATGCGCTTCTACATCCCCGGAACCGTCAAGAAGGAGGCAGAGGGCGACGACGCCGGCAGCGATGCCGGTGCCGGAGACGAAGAGAAGAACGCCGTCACACTCTTCTACGACACTCTGATGGAGAAGGCCGAGATTGGCGAGACCGCAGGCGATACTATCGCCACCTTCTTGGACATTCTGCACCTTACGCCCAGGTATGTGTGCATTTGTCAATTGTCTCGATTGACCCTTGGCTGACCTGTCAACAGAGGACGTTTCGATATCGACATGTACGATGCGTCTTTCCGTCTCCGTGGTAAGACGTACGACTACAAAATCCAGTACGACGCCATCAAGAAGTTCATGGTTCTTCCCAAGCCCGACGAGACCCACGTCTTGCTATGCGTTGGCCTAGACCCGCCCCTGCGCCAGGGTCAGACGAGATACCCCTTCATCGTCATGCAGTTCAAGAAGGACGAAGAGGTCACAATCGATTTAAACCTCACCGAGGAGCAAATAGAGGAGCGGTACAAAGACAGGCTCCAGCCTCATTACGAGCAGCCCCTCCACCAAGTCATTACCTACATCTTCAGAGGACTCGCCAACAAGAAGATCACAACGCCAGCCAAGGACTTCCAAACGTACGTTATACCCCGTATTCCCCGCTAACCCGCCCCACGCTAACCTTGACCAGTCACCGCAACCAGTTTGGTATCAAGTGCTCCATCAAGGCCAGCGAGGGTTTCCTGTACTGCCTGGAGAAGGCGTTCATGTTCGTGCCGAAGCCTGCAACATACATTGCCTACGAGCAGACGGCATCCATCACGTTTTCCCGTGTCGGCGGTGCCGTGTCGGCGCTCTCGACCTTTGACATCACCGTGCAGATGAAGAACGGTGCCGGCTCATCACAGTTCAGCAACATCAACCGCGAGGATCTTAAGGGTCTCGAGGAGTTCTTCAGACTGAAGGGCCTGCGTGTCAAGAACGAGATCGATGAAGAGTCGAACTTGATCGCCGCTGCCCTTCGTGAGCAGGCCATGGACGACTCCGAGGAGGAGGTTGTCGGCGCCGCCAAGGCTGACCGTGGTTCGGCTGACGAAGACGAGGAGAGTGTCGACGAGGACTTCCGCGCCGAGAGCGAGAGTGATGTCGCGGAAGAATTCGACAGTGACCACGAGAGTTCGGGCTCTGGCAGCCAGGAGAGCGACGTTGACAATGCCGCCGATGATGCCGAGGAAGACGATGAGGAAGATGAGGAGGAGGAGGAGGAGAGGCCCAAGAAGAAGAAGAAGACGGGCTAATCGCCTCGTCTCGCTCGGAGCTTTTGAATGGCACGGGTAGGTTAATGAGCGTTTTTCTGAACCGAAAGACACGTGTAAGACTATGATCGTTGATCTGCATGCTGGCCGATAGGCCATCGTGGAGCCGAACCAAAAGAGGTAAATACTCGGGGAATGCGGGCCAGGCAGTGAGGGCTCTTTTTCTTGCAATACCAACCAATTTTTTCTTCTTCTTCCAGTTCTCTTGACTGCGTCTGCGTCCACCATGTGTCTGCCGCTCGGCGACTACCAGCTACGGGGCGAGGATTGCCTCGCGGCTCTGGAGGCGGGGCGCCGACACATCGACACGGCGCAGCCTCTACGGAAACGAGGCCGGAGCGGGCAGGACCTTCAAGCAGTACCTACAAATACAGCAGCAATAGCATCGGCGGCGACAAACAGACGGAACGGCGGCGCGGGGAGGGCGTGAACGGAGACGGATACGTCGACCTTTTTCCTCGTCCACAGGCCTGTTGAGGGGCGCAGGGCGCTCTGGGTCGCTCTGGAGAGGCCGAGGATGCACCCGTGGTGCCAGCAGTGGGAGCCCGTCAAGTACTGCCGCGCGCGGTCGGCGTATGGCGGGCCCGGTGTTGATGGCCGTCGCGGAGCGGGTCTGACATCGGTTTACGGGCCGGGACCACCCGCCTTTTGTGGCCGGACGAATAAGCTCGGGATGGGGAGAGAGGACTACGGGATCATGAATTGACAGGTTTAAATTTTTTAAACTAAACCCCCTTCCCCCCCTTTTTTTTTTTCTCTTTTTCTTAATCTACGGACAACGACGGATTGATTGCCTATTTCTCCTCATTGACTGCTGCTACCTTCCGGGCTGGTGGTGAGAGAAGAAGCTTCCTGCTAGACAGTCATCAGCCAACCCCACTCAAGCCGAAACTGGTCTCGGTTTTTTAGTTTTTTTTTTTCTCCTTTTTCAAACATGGGATTGGGTTTGCTTGGTAGGCGGGGAAAAGCATCACCACCCGGACCCAGACTGTTGGAACCCGGCGTCGTCCCAAGCATCCATGGAACCTTTCTCGAGAAGAAAAGCACGGCCAAGCAAAACAAAGCAAGCAAGCAAGCCCCCGCCTGGAAAAGCACCAAATCTGGGAAATGCAATAATATGCAACACCAGGTATTCGCTGGTCGTCGCCGACCCCAACTACTAATCCGGCCCTCCACTGGCTTCCGTACGGGAGAGTGAAAGTCCACTCCCTATACCATCGCCGTTCCTAATTATCTGGCATCATAGGAATTCGTGTTCGTGGGCTTGGGAAAGTTGGTATATTGTTGTTGGCATGGTCAATTCGGAGCGGCGCCCGACTTTCATCCCCATGCAGGTCGTGGACTTCTTGGATCCTCCTGTTAACCATGTTCTTTATCCCCTCGGTAGCGATCTGTATGCTCGACTTTTTGCTGAAAGAGATTACGATCACTGGTAAATCATTTTGACCGGGTAGGTGGGCCTTAGAGGGGTCGTATTTAGTATTAAATATGTCGATAACAATCCAAATCCGCATAGGCCATCTCTCTGCGGCCACAAGCATGGTGTCTGTATGCGCGACCTGTGCAGCTTTGTTGCTCGAGTTCAGAAGGACAATTGCCACATTGACTAGCTGCTCATCGACTAGCCTCTCGTCCTCCAGCCACGCCAGAGACCAGTGAGGACTCTTTTTTGAAACAGAAACGAGGATGCGCTTGGCAATCGGGTCATTATAATGTTCACTCATCTCAGGATAGTCAAGAGTACTCTAGAAGCAATCCAGCGGAATGATAGGCGTAACAGTTGCTCCCAGCCTGGGTAAAGATTAGGCAATATGTCGTGGTCTGCGGAATGGTTCTGGCACTCACTGTGGTTCGAGATCGTTTAGGGAAATGCGCCTCACAGCTTTGTGTAGAGTCGTTCGACCGCAAAAACGGGGAGCCAGACGTATAAATATACACGCATGGTCGAGAATTATGACGTGTGTTATCATAATCGAATCATGCATTAAACCAGTATTCCCAATAAATGTGCACTGACACTTGTCTCACTCCAATGCTTATAGATTTATTCGCCACATTGTAGAATGGGGTTTCATTCTTTCCTTGCAAGGTGCTATATGCTCAATAGTATAGCGCATGTTCGTGACGCGGATGGCGCAGTTCGTTTGTGCCAAAGAGAAGCATAGGATCGCAAGATCACACTCGGACCAGCGGCTTTGGGTGCAGAGAGAGCCCCGCCTATTCAATTACCTAGGCTTCAGGCCCCCTCACCGAATCGCGGGACAGCTAGGCGATAAGCACCCCGCCTTGGAGTCTTGGGCGGCATATTGAAACACTGGGGGTGAGACTCGGGTGTTCCGCGATTGGTTGAAACGTGTCATGCCATCCACTACGAATATCAAGTTAGGGGACTGCAGGCTGCCGTAAACCTTTACCCGTCAGCCCAGACAGTAAGTACATAGGACTTACCTGTATACACTCGCAAATACGTGCTGTACACCATCCTACTAGGCAGGGATACTCACCCTCGTGTTGAGCATACTGAGAAACCGCTGTCTGACAAGGCCATTCAAGCTTCATTCGTTTTTAACGGGTCAAGTGTTCGACGAGTGTTCTCGCCGAGGCCTTGATCAAGGCCTTGATCAGTATTCTCATGGAGCCGCCCAGGATAAGATTATCAGGATGATCTTGACCAGGACCCTTTTGATGGCCTAGCTCCGCTGCCTGCCTGGTGCGTCCCCGTGTGACCCGCTGGGAAGGGATTCTCATTAGTCCGGGATTCGTGCAAGAGGGCCTCAGGATCTCGCCGGCGTTTGGTCCTTCAGACTGGGGTCAGCTCTGGAGGAGGTTTTGCAGTGGTGCACTAAGCACGCGAATCGTGTCGGTTATTCCGCGGGATTGTAGCCTGATGTCCTCAACAATATGTCTGTCGGCTTTTGGTGCACTAAGAACCCACTCCTTGCACGATTAAGCCTTGTATATGAGACGTGTGTAATAGCCAGAGGAAGCGACCTACCAGCGCATCTATTGTCCTAGAAGTCGCTTAGCCAGGACAATCGAGGTATACACACAGCAATAGCAGGAATCGTATTTCACACTGTGTGTATCATTAAAAGGAAGATAGTTGCGAGCAGGTTGCGTATGGTATGAGTGAGAACGGTGCTCTAGGTGTGAAGCCCTTTACTGGTTCTGACTTTTGCTGGTGTTGTTGTTGGAAAGTTTGAAATTCCCTTTTAAGTGTTACGAGTATAATTATGACTGACATTCTAGGCCACCGTGTTCATCGGTTCCCAGCTTAAACCATTTTTTGGAGTGGTCAAGATAGTACCCAAGCAGTTGATATACCGTGTGATAAACTGTCTATATACACTGTGTCGATTGTGTCCGCGCATTAAAAGAAATTGAGCTTAGACCATTTGGCCCCCTGATACCTCCAGTAAGTACCCTAGTATACCGCCTGCAGAATAACTTCGGTTCTGGCCCGATATGGCTGTTTATGTGAATGTCTTATTGTAGTATGCGATACTATTGCGTGGATGGATGGGTGTTTGCCGTCCACTGAGTCCGGGTGCCAGCCGGGGTTGCCTTGTGGAAGGTCACTCACCGGGGCGTGCGCGGTCTGGTGTGGGACGCGGCGGATGCTGGGCTCACCTGGAAGCTTCGACTGATCTGAGCTTGCCCGCTAGGCAACCTTGCCCGCCTGCCTTCCGCAGCTCGGGGGGAGGGGGGGTTAACGATCAACGGGCAAACAAAACATTCGACAACACCTCTAGCGTCATTAGGACCAACCCACTTAGAAGCTATCGATCGATCCTTCCCTACATTTTCTGTCTGGCAGACCCGAACAATCCAGACGCCAAATTCCAACGGTCCTTCTTCTTCTTCATATTCCTTTTCCAAATCAGCAGAAAGCCCCAACAGTGAGCATGAGCGGGAGAAGCTTGCATCGCGCCTTGAGCGGCGGCTGTCATTGCGGGCGCAACAGTTACATCATCGATGTCCCTCACAGCACCACCGAGAGGGCGCAGGTGCTCTTCCACACGGATTCTATGCACAGTAAGTTGCACCCATCTCTTCCTCCTCAAACTTGCTTGGGGGCGTTCCCCAGTGAGACTCTTGTTCCAAACGAACGGCATGCCTCGCCTTTTACCGACGAGCGGGAATCCGGATGCTAAACATGGTCTAATGCGCAGGAGTCCCTCTGGCAACCCCACTGGCCGCCATGCTACGCGTGCCGCTGTCGTGGTATCGCAGCTCGACTCACGCCTTGTTCCCGGACGAAAAGTACTCGACGATCCGTCGCGTCTTTGAAGGATCGCCCAACCACTCGTCGAAGCGGCACTTCTGCGGATTCTGCGGCACGCCTCTGTCCTACTGGACTGAACAGCCCCAGACCGAGGCCGGCTACATCCATCTGACACTGGCCAGCCTCCGAGGCGAGGATCTGAGAGATCTGGAAGACCTAGGCCTAATCCCCGGGTTCGAAGAGGCGGAACAGCAGCCCGCAGTCCCGACAACAACCACGGTAATTGGAAGGGAAACCCGCGGCGTCCCATGGTTTGAGAGTTTGATCGAGGGGACCCGTTTGGGTAGCATGAGTCGCAGCCAAGTCGTTGATCACGGCAACGACGGGAAGATCAGGGTCGAGTGGGAGATTGTGGAGTGGACCGACTCAGACGATGCCAACAACGTGGCCCCAACGGCCGAAGATGTTGGCATGACGACTAGCCTTCCCGGAAAACGCAAGATGGGAGACCGAGATGATGCGGCTGGCGACGCCATGCAGTAAGCCCTGCCCATGTCGTGCATTATAATAATAGGGTGGGTAGCAGCGAGGCCGGGATTGCTTGGGCTGGGCCGACTCACCTTCGTCCCGGCTTCCGCACACCTCGGTGAGCCATAGGCGGAGCCCCTGGACGGCCTTTTGAGCTTTGGGCGAAGAACGGCATGTACTAAAAGGCGCGGGCGACATGTCTTCAGGAGAGCGTCGATGCGGAAATATATCGGCTCGGGTGTATCGAGCCGCGGAGGGAGCGTATGAAGTCGGATGAAAAGCACCGCAGATCGAAAGGAAAAGGGAACGTGGACTAGCCGGGCAGAGATGCGCAACCCTAAAGTGCCCACGATGAGAAGAGTAGCCGCAGAAGAGGCTGCTCACATAGATAGATGCGTTAATAATGGTGTGTGTAAAAAGCTCCGGTGATTAACCGCGCGTTGTGTTTTTGCTACTTTGATGTGCAATAAGCTCCCGGTGTCTGGGGCCGAAGGCTCGTTGGCTCGATAAGACGGACCCCGCTATCCGGCAGAAACGGCTTCGCCGACCGAAGACGAGGGAGAAGAGGCGGTGGAGTAACAAGGGCATCCTTGGAGCAGAGAACGACTGTAGGCTTCCGCGCAAGCATGGAGCGGTTGCTCTTCATGTGATACTCGTGTGTTGGAAGTCGCGCGAACGAAGGCGACGAGAATGCAGCTGGGCGGCTTTGGGGGAGGGGGCGGAATTGAGATCGCGGCCACACTTGGACGTCGTATCCCTACTCAAGGGTGCATGACTGCGGCGTTAAAGGAGACAGAACATTTCGGGTTGGAGCTGATGTTAGTGCCGAGTTGTTCAGTGTTCATACAATACTGTGTTCCCATACTGTGTAGCCGGAATGAGTACCCTGAAGAGTGGATTGTAGGACCGGCAAGACCATGTGTAATAGTATGCCTAGCCGTAATCAAGTGGTTTTCTCTGTGTCCAGTGTTCAGTCGACGCATTGTCCACTTACCTACCTACCTATTATCAGAGCGTTGATACGAAGCCCGGGGGTGGACGGCGAGCGGACGTTGCGGCGAATATGCCCGTCCGACGTCCGCTCACCGAAACCAGTGGGGGGCCGTTTGGTGGGACATGCGTCTGACAGTTGGTGGTGGCGGTCCAAGATGGCTGGTTACCTGGCGTCAGGGGGACGAGGGAACATCGGGAGAATTCCCCGTAGCCCCTCCCTTCTCGCCTTATGCGAGCGGCTGCGTGGTACGAAAAAGTTGTCAAACATATGTAGAAGGCAGATCTGCCATCAGCCGGTCCTGGCGAAGCAACCAGACAGGAAAAGACTTGTGCCATCATTTCCAATCGATGGAGCGCGAACCGTCGGCCGAGGATCTAGCAAGGGCAACCGTTGGATGCCGAGGAGGGCGTGTAGATATTGTTTGTTTGTTTGTAATGTGATGTGAGTGTGAGTGTGTGTGTGTGTTGCGTGCGAAACGTGGCTGCAGAGCTTCTAGCGCCTTTCATGTTGGTTCTGGTTCCGAATGCAGGTCGGCGCCCAATGAGACGGTCGAGGGAATCGTCAGCTGGGGAGATCGCGGGATGTTCTTGTTTCGACTCGGCTCTTGGGAGGGCTGGGCAGAAGAAGGACGTGGGCTGTCGGAGAGACGGGCCGTCGTGTGGTTTTTTTGCAAGCGGCGGATGGAGGGAGAAAGAGAAAGGACAAGTCGACGAGGGGGGGGGGGGGGGACCCCACGGCGGGGTAGCGAGAGGCGCCCCTGGCCGCTAGTCCCTGATACCTATATCTCTCTGTATAATGCATATGTATGTGTACGGATAGGCTGTAAGCTTTACGAAGAAGAGGCGCACGACCGGGCACAAGGTACTGGAAGGAACATGTACGTTTGAGCTTGCTGCAAATGTACTCGAAAGATGGTACATAGTGTGTACAATCTATTCACGAGTACCTAGCAGCATTAGCAACAGTAGCAGAAGCAGGAGGGCGGCGGCAATGGCGAGTTTCGTGGCCAAGGGAACCAGGACATGTACATTAGTTATCACCTTCTGTGTGCCAAGGTACTTGTTGTACTGCGTCGGAGGGTTTCCGTTGCGAAGCAAACATAGACAGTAACCCGTCCCTCGGATACTCCAACTCATGCTACCTACCACCTACCTACCCACCCACCTATCAAACGCCATGTCTCCTTCGGGCCATGTCCAGTCTCAGCTATTCGGTGACGACGGTCCGTCACGGGAGAATTTCTGGAGACGTTCTGGGTGCCAGATTGACTACCTATGCTGGACTGCGAATCGTCATCCGGCATCCACATCCACATCCACATCCACATCCACATCCACATCCACATCCACATCCACATCCACATCCACATCCACATCCACATCCACATCCACATCCACATCCACATCCACATCCACATCCTGCATCCACATCCACGCATTCACTCATCCCATGTCGTCGTCCGTCGTTCGTCTGCAGGTGTTTGTCCCATGTCTGGACGCTGCATCCTTGCAGACCAGTCTATTTTCCACAGACCCTCATGATCATGTTTCCATCTCACTTTTTGCCTAAAGCTGCCAAGGTCGTCCAAGTATCCCATCCCCATCCAAGGAGCGGCGTAGGAATCGCATTTTGATCCCACCGCTTCTTTTCCTTCCGTCCCTTGTCCGCGCTTTATAAGTATTGTGCCAGCGCCTCACTCACTTCCCCGTCTGCTCAATTCGCCTCTCGTTCTCGTCACCCTGAACCGACTCGGCATTTGTTTCATCACGGCCATCGTTCACTTGTTGCTGAGTCGCTGCTTTGTGCCGGGACAGATCATCGAAACTTCACCCCCATCGTAATCATCATCATCATCATCATCCCACAGCCTCCAGTCCTGTTTGACAGTAATTGGTCCGCAACGCATCGCCACTGCCTGAAAAGCGATTTCATCAACAACAACAAATAGCTTATAGCAACTCCTAACGGGCCGCCCATCATGTCTCTTCCCAGCGATTTCCTCTGGGGCTTTGCCACTGCTTCGTACGTACTTCATTTCGCCATCAACCCCCGCCTCACCAGCAGGTCCATCGCGGACCACTTCCCAAATCCCTGGCCGTTGTCATCTTGCACGCTCGCGCCGTCTCCCGCCGACATCCCAATCCGGACGACTAACAGGCATCCGTCCACCACCATTCGCCGTCCTCCCTCCCGTCTCTCCCACTTGCGAAGCCCAATCTCCCGGCCCCCCATCCAACATCCCCCCACTCTCATCTTTAACCCCCCTCCCTCTTCTTCTTCTTCCTCCCCAATAAGCGAGCCCGTGGATACGCCTTGCTGGACCCTTGCTGACCCTGCTCCTTCTCCCCTCACCGCAGATACCAGATTGAGGGTGCCGCCGAGAAAGACGGCCGTGGCCCTTCCATCTGGGACACTTTCTGTGCCATCCCCGGCAAGATCGCCGATGGCAGCTCCGGCGTCGTCGCCTGCGACTCGTACAACCGCACTGCCGAGGACATTGCTCTGCTCAAGTCCGTCGGCGCCAACAGCTACCGCTTCTCCCTCGCCTGGTCCAGAATCATTCCTGTCGGCGGCCGCAACGACCCCATCAACCAAGCAGGCATTGACCACTATGTCAAGTTTGTCGACGACCTCCTCGACGCCGGCATCACCCCCTTCATCACCCTCTTCCACTGGGATCTCCCCGATGGCCTCGACAAGCGCTACGGCGGCCTGCTGAACCGCGAGGAGTTCCCCCTCGACTTTGAGCACTACGCCCGCGTCGTCTTCAAGGCCATCCCCAAGTGCAAGAACTGGATCACCTTCAATGAGCCCTGGTGCTCCTCCATCCTCGGCTACAGCAGCGGCTTCTTCGCCCCCGGTCACACATCTGACCGGACCAAGTCCGCCGTCGGCGACTCGGCCCGCGAGCCTTGGATCGCCGGCCACAACCTCCTCGTCGCCCACGGCCGTGCCGTCAAGGTCTACCGCGACGAGTTCAAGCCCACCAACGGCGGCCAGATCGGCATCACCCTCAACGGCGACGCCACCTACCCCTGGGACCCCGAGGATCCCGAGGATGTCGAGGCCGCCGACCGCAAGATCGAGTTCGCCATCTCCTGGTTCGCCGACCCCATCTACTTTGGTAAGTACCCCGACTCCATGCGCAAGCAGCTCGGCGACCGCCTGCCCGACTTCACCCCCGAGGAGCTCGCCCTCGTCAAGGGCTCCAACGACTTTTACGGCATGAACCACTATACCGCCAACTACATCAAGCACAAGACCACCCCTCCCGAGGAGGATGACTTCCTCGGCAACCTCGAGACCCTCTTCGAGTCCAAGAACGGCGAGAACATCGGCCCCGAGACCCAATCCTTCTGGCTGCGTCCCAACCCTCAGGGCTTCCGCAACCTCCTCGTCTGGCTCTCCAAGCGCTACAACTACCCACCAATCTACGTCACCGAGAACGGCACCTCTCTCAAGGGCGAGAACGACATGCCCCTTGAGCAGATCCTCGAGGACGACTTCCGCGTCAACTACTTTGACGGCTACGTCAAGGCCATGGCCGAGGCCTGCGAGAAGGACGGCGTCAACGTCAAGGGCTACATGGCCTGGTCCCTCATGGACAACTTTGAGTGGGCCGAGGGCTACGAGACCCGCTTCGGCGTCACCTTTGTCGACTACGAGAACGACCAGAAGAGATACCCCAAGAAGAGCGCCAAGAGCCTCAAGCCCCTCTTCGACAGCCTTATCAAGAAGGAGTAGTCTTGCTGTTGGGGGGTTGCCCGGTCCACGTGAGGGGGTCCACACATGTTGGAAATGCATAGCTTTTCTTTTTCTTTTTTTTCTTTTTGGGAAGTGGTGACGAGAGCCAAGAGCTGCTGCTTATGATTGATATTGATGTATGAAGATGGTGTTTCATTCGTTGTTATGACCCATCATGTAGTTTGGCTACATGAGTTGCCGAAATAAACCCCGGGCTTTGACCTTTTGACGCCGGCCTTGCCCTTTGATTGAGCCAGCTCGTGGCTGCGTGACCCAGCAGCCATTCAATCCAACACCCTGGCGGCCTGCCGCTCATCGGGTCTCGGGTACTACGTAAGTTGTGCTTCGGCACGGGACGCGACCTTGAGCGGCTGGTGCTTCCAAAGAAAACGGTCATGTGCCCCCAGAGGACGACTGGGCGCAGGCGTGGCTCCGATCGCGGCGGAATGAGTGACTTTTGATCCAAAAAAAATTAAAATGAGAAAAGAATGTCTATTACGCTCCTTGTATCATATCCAGAATCCACTGATAGTAATCAAGTGGTCTCAGAAGATCGCTAGGTCTGTTGTGATACCGCCTCGACCGGCACCACACGGTCGGGTCCCTTTCTTCCCTTCCGCTCATCCTCGTCATCCCCGGCCGAGCCCGTCGAGTACTCGTGCGTTCTTTCCCCCCTCCCGCCCTCCTCGTCCTCCGTCGTCGCCTCGGCCTCGGCCTTGGCGGCCCGCCGCAGGTACCACTTGAAGACGTAGACGAGGATCTGCGCCATGAACACCTGCTCGATGGTGTACAGCAGCACGGGGATCTGGATGAGGGCGCGCGTGAGGTCGTCCGAGGCCGTCCACATGGCCGTCGCCAGCGGGATGCCCAGGGACGTGGTCTTGGCCGCGCCGCAGAAGCACACGGCGATGGCCTGCTCCCGCGGCAGCCGGCGCAACGTCAGCGCGCGGCGCAGGAGCTCCGGCCCCGGCGCGCGGCCCACGCGGGAATTCACCGCCTCGCACGCCGACGGCGGCGGGCGCGCGGCGCAGAAGCAGATGAGGGTGAAGACCGCGTAGAGGGCGACGTTCATGAAGACGTTGAAGATGATGGAGGCGTGGGGCGTCACGTAAAGGGCGCCCGTCTGGAAGGCCGCCGAGAAGGTCGTCCTGTCAGTTTTATCCCCCGTCGTGTCAGCAAGGCGCGCGGACCATTTTGAGGGAAAGGAAAGAGAAGGGGGGGGGGGGGGGGGGGTTCCACTCACCAGACGAGCAGGATCAGGCAGAACGACGACACCTTGGCGAGGTAAAACGTCTTGAGCGCCCACTCGACCCTCCTCTCCCAGTACCACCGCACGACCTGGCCGACGGCCAGCGGAAGCAGGACGCTCAGCCCGAGCTGGCGGAGGACGTTGGCGTACATGGCACCGAGGGTGCTCGGGTTCGCGGGCTGCCAGTCGGCGAACTCGGGCGTCTTGGGGATGAAGCCGTAGATGAGGCCAGGGGAGATGAAGCTGCCGAGGACGTTGCCGATGACGACCTCGATGATGGCCGCCGCGTCGTCGCCGCCCGCGGCGCGCGTCATGACTACGTTGGAGGCGATGGTCGTCGGCAGGCACGAGGCCACGACCATGCCGACGATGATGGGGGTCGAGAGCACGTTGTTGCGGAGGCCGCCCGCGGCGATGATGATGTGAACTACGACTTTTTTGGGGGGCCGAGCCATCAGCCTTGCTTCTTTTGGTCCATTTCCCTTTTCATCTTTCATTCTCACGTGTAAAGATGCGAGGGAAAGGAGTTGAGGGGAGGGGAGGGGAGGGGAGGGGAGAGGGGAGTCATGTGTCTTACTCAGGAGTATCACGGGTATGACGATGAAGCTGATGCCCTGGACGACGATGTGGAGGCGCCAGTTGGTGAGGTTCTCCCGCAGCTTGGCGTGAGAGAGCTGCAGCCCGCTGACGAGGAAGATGATGGCGATCCCGCCATAGATGATGGAGTACTCTGACCTGATCGGGCCGCCGCGGGCCGCGACATCTGCGCGGTGAGGGAAAAGAAGGCCCGTCAGCGATGGTTCTCCTCATTCTAGCGTTTGCCATGACGATTCTCTGGAGGGTGTTGGGGGGGCGGCGGCGGTTGTCATCGCGTTCGACTTACTGGGGAAGAGGTACGCAAACACGCAGCTCATAGCGAACCCGATGACGAGCCACTGCGCGAGGACAAGCTTGACGATCCCGATCGCCCTCGTCCGGAAGCGGGACCACGCGGTCGCGTTGGACGGGCGCTCCGCCTCCGTCTCGCTCTGATCACCCGCGGGACCGGCCATGGGCTCAAACTCTGTTTTTCGAGGTCTCAGGGGCCCGGAACAGATACCCGAGGAAATATCGTTGGAGGCTCTCTCACAGTTGGGAGCGGGGGGTGGGGGAGGCGGTTGAGTGGAGTCAGTCGGTTCGGAGTCGTTTCCCTGGGGCGCGGGAACCCCGTAAACCTAATCAAAGTTCCCCTGGGGGAAAGAAAAAGCCAAAATTTGTAGTCAAAAATTTAAAAAAGAATTGGTGTGATGGCGAGGTTAAATGGACTGCAGTCAACACCCTCCCCCCTTCTCGCTGGTCCTCTTGCGACAGGGTATCAGCCAGAAGAGATATCGGACACAGCACTCCCCAGGGGGCAGGGGGGGCGGACATGTCTTTCTCCGCTCAACAATCGAAGAGAGAGAGAGAGAGAGAGAGAGAGAGAGAGATTGTGCATGGTAGACATTGGATGACGCCAATGCCCAGGTCGTCGGTCGCGGGTGGGGCCGGGTTATTACCGACCGGGCCTGGGGATTCCGACATCGGGGCGTCGTCCGAAGAAAAAAAGGTGTGTTAGCGAGAGGGGGGTGGGTGATGGGAAAAGAAGCCCTGGGGATGCCAGTCGAGCACGCGTGCCCGGGTGATTGATCATCTACTCGGGCGTGCCATCTCCAACGGATCCGAGAAGTCTCGGGGGCGTCCGCGCGCCGGCTCGGCCGAACCCGCCGGTTTGTCGGTCGCAGGGGGGGGGGGGCATGTGCGGGACATTAACGGTCAACAACCTACAGTCGCCGGGGACTCTACTCCTTCGTCTCGGCCGTGCTGTGTTTTTTACTCACCGCAACTTCACCACCTTCTTTTCTTATTTTTCTTGTCGGCAATCACCCCTCTGGTGGCCGACGGGTAGCATGGGGCAGTGCTCGAGGTGGACAATTAGATCTTGCGGTTCATTGTTTTACTATTACGTTTACGACTAACTCCAGGAGGGTATCGTGGTTAACTCCTTCGCAGCCTTCTCTGTTCCGTCGTCACGTACGGACATTACAACCATCCGTCGTTTATCGCCTTTAAGCTTCGTATACCGTACACCCGAGTCTCCTTTTTGCCGACTCTGTTGTTGCCATGACCGTCTTGGAATCTGTCCCGACGTGCTGTTTTCCCACCGCTGAGTCCAACCGTAACTTCCAAACCAGGGTATCTACCAATGTTGTGTTTTTCTAAATAAAACATGACGAAAAAAGAAAAAAACATTAAAAGAAAATTCGCGCTGTGCTGTGCGCCCCGCCTCATCATCGTCTTAGGCGTTTCTCGTTCGGCTCTGCATCCTCCGCATCGCTTCCCGGTGCGCGTCAAACATCTCGCCGCTTTGCATGCGAGCCGTGAAGGCCTGGTCCGACCTCTCCTTTTCGAGCCTCTCCTTCTCCTTTCGCTTGGCCTCGGCGTCCTTCTGACTCATCATGAAGACCCGCTGCAGGTCAATGTTCCTTTGTATTTCGGCCTCGCGGGCACCGTTCTGGTCGGCGAGACTCGTCGCACTCGCCGAACGATACATGCTCAGAGCCGTGTCGCGACCGTTTGAACCAACAGGGGCCGCGGCCATGCTCGCGCGGAGATCGGCTCGGACAGAGTTGCGGAAGCTGGCAAGCTTGGCCTCGCGGGCCTCTTGCGACGGCCCGGTGGAATACCGTACGGGTTGGTGGGAGTCGAAGGCCACGCTCTCGGCTGACATGCCATGCATGAAAGCTCCGCTGGGTGGTCTGTGATCTCCCACGAGCGAATGCGACGTTCCGAGACTGCTCTGGCGGCGGATAATCTCCTTGCGTTTGCTCAGAGGAAGGTCGTCCAACGAGTCTGGCGCCATTTGTTGCGTGTACAGGGGATAATTGTGCATCGAACCGGATTCACTGGCGGGACGGTATGCCGCGAGGGGGATCTCGGGTGTCGTGATGCCGCCAGCAGTTAAGAGTCCGTATGTCTTGTTGTGCAGGGCGAGGCTCCGTTGCGCGATGAGGCTCTGGGGACTGTCGTATGACACAATACCCGGAGGCGGAGGCGGCCGCTCGAAGGCGACGGGGGTGGCGGGAGATGCGGATGATGGACCAGAGCTGCCGCTCCTTGTGCTGACTGCTTTGGAGGCCACGTGGTGCACGTCCTCCTCCGCAATGGGTTCGAACTGCGTCTTGCTTGACGCTCGGCGGTGGGACTGGTACGAGTTGTTCCTCGAGTGGCCACCGCGACTCGGCGCGTGGCTGGACAAATGTCTTTGTTGAATGGGACTGGGCGACTTGGTGGGCACTGGGGCTGGCGTGACGGACGAGGCCGTCTGCTGAAGCTCCTCGACGTGCACAGGAGCCGGGGCTTCCCGTGTCGGCGGCCTGTCCTCGGCCAGCAGCAAGACGTCTGGCTCAGGTGCTTCTGCGTGGCTGAGATGCTTCGCCCACTCGTTTGTCCGGTAGTGAAGCGCAACGTTAGAAAAACTAGGCGGCAGGCTGTCTGACGTTAGATTGACGGGTGCAGAATCGACCGAGGCTGTGGACTTGGCTTTCTGGGAGGGGGTTCCAGCCGGCTGCAGGCTAGATTCGGGGCTTGTATGCTCTTGCTGCTTCGACGTGATGCTGTCTTTGGCAGCGTCGCCGTCAGGGCTCTTCACATCCTCCTCCGGCATCTCGGCGATGATCGGGGATACGGGCTCCGTGGCCGGTGGTCCGTTCGCGACGTCGCACGTAATTGACATCGCCGAGACTCGTTTGTTGATGTCTTCGCCGTTCATGCTTTGTCGAGATGCATGTGTCGATTCGCTCTCCGACTTCTGATCCGCTGGCTTTCCATCGGCAAGCTGGGCGTTGACCTCAATACTGCGGCGGAGTGAATGACGGTCGATGCTTCCGGCGCTATCTTTCTGGGTATCGATCGTCGCGGCGATGGAACCGGCGTCGTCGTCGTCTTCCGGCCGTCTGAGTCCCATCAGCTCCTCATCGGCCAGTCCGTCTGCGTTACGAAGCGATGCCGATGTGCGCTGGGAGACCTTCCGCATGAGCTGTGCCGAGCTCCGGGAAAGACGCTTCGCCAGAGAGTTTCGCTTGCTGCCAGTATCGGCCTCATATTCGTCATCGTCGGCGAACGTTGCGATCGTGGATCTGTCCCCCTTCTCCCTAGCCAGGGCCTCTTCCGCAACCGGGAACCTGAACGGTAGAGGCACCACCTCGGGAGCCGGCGCCACTTCTTCTGGTGCGTTCTCAACAAGGGGGGTGCCTTGCTGAGCCGCCTTCGTCTCACCGACCGCCTTGTCTGCAGCGTCAGAGTCTGTGATGGTGTCGTCGGCTGCAACCCGCACCGTCACCATACCGTCCTTTTCCTTCTCTGAGACCATTAGGGCCGTGGCCGTCGGCTTGGGAGGGGCGATGGGAGGCACATCCGAGGCTTCCATTTCAGCCACTGGCGGATCCTGCGACCGACCGATGGCGGTGCTTTGGCTATATTGGATAGCCTTTTCGCTCTCACTGTCGGGAGCGAAGCCGGAGTCGTGGTCCGAGCCGTTGGGGACATAGTCTCCGTGAACCTTTTCCCATGCCCGTCTTTCGCGGGCGTTCCGTGCCTCGAGTTCCTTTCCAATGTTGGCTTCTTCCTCGTCGCGAGCACGCTGCGCCTCGGCCAGCTCCTCGTCTCGCTTGGCACGTCGGTCTTTGATGACATTCCACAGCCTCTTCTGGGAAATGATGCCGATACAGAAAATGACCACGATCGCGGCAACCTCAACGCGAATGCCCTTGGTCATGGGGTATGTGTCGGCGCCCATCGGGAAAAGGTTGTCGTTCAGGCCCCAGACGTAGGCCCAGAACTCCTTTAGCCCGGCGCGGCTAAAGCAGTCGATGCCGAGCACAGTCACGGTGGCGCCAGTGAAAGAGATGGTGATCATCAGGGCCCAATCGCGTGTCCACCGGGTGAAGTATGTGGCAAACCCGGCCAGAGTGAAGACAATGACGAAGACGACCATTGCAATACCCGAAAGCAGACCGCCGTCGTGAAGGCACAGAAGCCACATGGCAAAGCAAAACCCGCCGAGAGCGCACGCCAGACACTCTGTGATCTCCTTGAAGAACCAAGAGGACAGAACGCCGGCAAAAATAGCCGGCAAGACGGCGGCGACAACGTAGGCTCCCTGAGACGCGTTGGAGACCGGCATGACCATGACATAGACGATCAAAACCGATATACCCAGGCCGACGACGTATGCAACCGAGAAGGCATTGTGCACGACGGTGTTCTTGATCCCAACCAGGGTATAAACAAGACCTGTGCACATGAGTATCACGCCGGCCACGGCCCAACCGGGTGTGATGACTGGCTGAAGGGGCAGTTGTCCATCAGGGATGGTGGCTGGAATAACAGTCAGTTTCGTCCGAGTGTTCAATTTGATGGATGGTATCAGAGGTAAAGTAGAATATCACTTACCGTTGAACAAGCTGGAGTTGCCGTGGGTGTTGCCTCCAGACACAGTTGGGATGGGTGAGGCACTAGCGGTGCTGTCGGAGGACTGAACCAAGGCCGTGGTGGTGGCCGGCGTTGGCCTTAGCGACGATGCCGGTGATGTCGTAGTCTCGGCCCCTAGTGTGCTTTCGGATTGAATGGAAGAGGCAATGGCGGTAGCCGAGGTCACGGTCTCCGTCTCTTGTCGTCTAAGTGGGATCGCAACATGGGCAACGGCGAGTTGGAGGCAGAGGAAGAGGAGGCCCCAAGTGATCAGGCGATTCCATCTGGCCATGGTGACTATCGATCCCGAAGTTGTTGAGCAGATGTCTCGGTTGCCTTCCAGCTATGATCGCAATGGCGGATAGTCAGAGACGCTGAGCATCCGTCTTGATTTCTAGCGAGGTCGACAGAGTGAGGGTTACCGGCAAGGATGAAGTAGCCGGACGGAAGACGTAGGCGGAGGAGAAGAGCTGGGGAGGACGGTGTTAATAGTTGAGCAGACAATGGCCGGCAAGCGTCAACTCGAACCCCAGAGACCAGTGGGGTATTGAGACAAGACGGCTTCGAGGCTGACGGGAGAGAAGGGAAAGGGAGCAGGGGGAAGAAGCAAAGGAGGGCAGAGACAGGGGGCAAGGAGCAGGGGCAGGGTAGAGCCCAGATGTCATGGGTGGAGTCGGGACCCGGAGGTGATCAAACTATATAGGACCAGGAGGAGAACGTAATGCCAGAGGGGAAGACCCCACGGAGGATGGGGATCTCGCAGGTAACACGGAGCAAGGCCACCACCATTGGGGGTACAGATGCCATGGGCCACCGACAGTTTCGTAAGAGGGCAGGCAGTTGAGCCCTTGTTGCTCGTCTGACGGAACAGATCCGGCACTCGAGCACTTCATGAAACCTCTCTTGGTGGGCCAAGAGGTGCAAAACCCTCGCTTACCTTTTTACATAGCCAGCGCAATATTGAAGAATGTGAAGACGGAAGGGAAGGGAAGCATGAGGCTGCGTCGTATGCTCGAAGGCAGGTTAGCAAGGACGAGCAGATAGTGGCGAGCCGAGCGTGCATCATTGGGAGACGCAGCAAACAGGAGGGGGGGGGGGGCGGGTGCGGGAGATGAAGACCACGGACGAGCAGGAAAAGCAAAGGTGGCAGGCAAAGAGTGGTAGGTGTACCCAGCCAAGACGATGAAGTGCTACATGGCAGCGTCGGATGCAACCGAGTGAGCTGCGGCTCTCGGCCAGAAGAGTGGTCTTGAACAATTGTCCCGGTCCAGCGGCACAGAAGTAGGATTTGCCTACCGTGTGCCACGATGATCCTGGGAGGCCAACAAGATGTGCAACTTGAGCAAACGCCTGGGTGGAAGGGCGCCGAGGCGCGACGAGGAGAGACGCGAGGTGAAATGAGGAGAGGTGAAAAACAACGTAGTGTTCTGGCGAGTGGTAAGCAGTCGTCTGAAGTTGAGGCGGGTTCACCCTAAATTACAGGGACAGGGGGAACGACACCCGGCATACCACCCCCCGGCCCCACCGCTCAGCGTTTGACTCGGATGGGAATATAAGTTTACACCAAGACAATCAGGAACACACAAGAAAAGCCCGATGGTGGTGGAGGGGTGGGTTTGGAGGGGGGGGGGGCGGGGGGTGCCAATTGGACGGACGCACACGACGAACGGGAATACCGGATTGGATGAGATGAGAGGCGGAATAAGATGGAGGGGCGTGCGCAGATGGGATGATTAACCATGAAAGGTGAGGAGAGAAAATGGTGTAGGTGGGATTGGATGAGGGGAAGTCCCAGTTCGTCCGTCCTGTGTAGTGTACGACGCCGGAGAGACGTCACCTCCTGCATCTCAACAACCGCTCTGGCCTTACCTAGGTACCTATTGATTGTGTCGGTTCCGTACCGCAAAAGAAATGCCCGAGACGGGCGGCGGAACAATGTTGCTCTGAGCAAGGTGATGCGCAGTGCAGTGCAGTGCAGTGCATCGCAAGGTGCGCTGGCGTGGACAGGCCTTGGTTCAGGAAGTTGGTGACGCCGGACTGTGTCATTCGCGAGGTGTTTTGTCCCATACCTATCTACCTAGGTAGAGCATCCACCCGACTCGACTAGGTACGAGTCGGTCATGATGATGATGATGATGATGTGGAAATCACGTCGACTGGTTTTGCTGCTTCTCCACCAGCTACCACACTACCTACCACGTCCCTCTTCTCATCTGCCTCCGCACTGTCGCTGCAGGGGAAAGAACAGTATCATAGGTATTGGGAGGATCACTAGTTGTCTGCCACCGGCAACCGGATCGCGACTCAGTGTCCAGATGAGGACACGTCTCGTCTCGGTCACGTTCATATGCATTGTGAAAGCTTTCTTTTTTCCAAGGCGCTGAAGGGCAGATACTGGTAGACGAGAAGGGGGTTATTGCCATTATGCCATATGAGTCAGCTTCGCCTCCGCCAGATCGGTGGCGCAGGGGGGGGTGGGGGGGGGGAGACAAGGCCGGTAGACCTAGATGAAATTACAGCTACTACATCCGTACTCCGTAGCATCCATACAGAATATCCTAAACCATCTAGGTACCTACCTACCTAGGTAAGGTTGGCCAGCAGCAAGCGGTGACGCAAGAAGCAAAGGCGCCACATGCAGTCAGTCAATCAGTCGGTCAGTACCCGCACCTGTACCTATCCGGTCTCAACTCAATAGCGGCTGTGATGGGCGAAATGAGAGTTGCACCGACGCGGCGGGACGAGGACGATCACAGGTCCACCGGCGCTTCTCATCTGTATGAACGGGTACGTACCCGTGTACGTGGAGTCTACTCCGGACTTAGGGCCAGAGCCCAGAGCCAGTAACCATCTGCGCGCTAGTCCAGTTTAGGGATACTCTGCTAACGAGATCGTCTTGGATAGGTACGCGTTTGATTTTTGCCGCCATAGCTTAACGGCGTTCGAAAAATGGAAGCGGAAGGCACGACTACTAATGTAAGGTAAGTATGGCCTGAGAAGTAAACTAAAAGAGAGAGAGAGAGAGAGAGAGAGAGAGAGAGAGAGAGAGAGAGAGAGAGAGAGAGAGAGAGAGCAACCGACCACCCTCCGGAGGAAAGTATAAGAGTTTTCAGCAGGCCCGGGCTCGATGGCACCTTCCCCTCAAATCGCATCGCATCGCAACGCTCCAAAAGTAGAAATAAGAACCATGCAAGTGGAGAACGGCGGCTGCGCACTTGGAGGCGCAAGTCCCTGATTGGGTTTAGGTATGGATCTTTCCATCTCACCATTATACAATACGGATACAAGTACACTACAGCATCGCTCTTCCTTCCTTTGCCATGGTGAACAATATTCAAGAAAACCTGAACCTGGATCTCGACCCACAACCACACACATCATCGTGACTGATCAGGCCTTGCTCGGCTACCTCTGTCCACCCGATCGAGATCCAGAAAAGCTTCTCATCGGCTTCACCAAGAAAGACCCATCGCAGGTCCGGCGTGGTCTGATCACAGACAGCCTGCTCTTCGTCACCCGGACTGCCCAGAGGGGACCCCCTTCTCGAGTCTCGACGGCAGCGACCTAGGTAGTAGGGTCCGTGAGATGCGCACCCCTGTCATTAGACCTCTCGACAATGACAGGTTTGTTGGTTGGTTGGTTGGCGGTCAACCGGTGTGCCGGTTCAGCCTGGAACGGGAAGAGGATTCATTCATTTAACGCTGTTTGCCTGATTAGCAGCACGGAGCATCTGGCACACGTCGAGGCCGCCAAAAATAAGCCGACGTCGCCCTATCCCTATCCCAGCCTAACTATTTCGCAGCCCTTCAACGGCAAGCGTTGTTTCGGGTCTCATTTTTGGCACCCTCCCCTATCGGTCCATCGCTTCTTCGTGCCGTCCATCAAAGGCAATGGACAGGAAACCGGTCTTGCATCTCCAAATCCCGTCGTATGCTCGATGTGCGGTTTGTCGGCTACCAACGCGGAGCCGGCAGGGGTCAAGTACCCGATCGGGCGATCCTAGGCGGCCTTGTTCGACAGCCGTTGTTGGACCCCACGCCCTGCGCCTCGCCGCATAAAGGGGCCCTCGCATCCTTGCCCACTCTGATACAGGCAAAGCCTCGCTGCATGAGCTCCCCCCATATCAGCGGTCCTGAGCGAATATTCCTCTTCATTTATTTTGTCTTTAAAATCCTGAAAACCGGAAACCCCGCGGCCGAATGGGCGGGCCCTGGAATTCCACATCTGATGCGTCCACCAGCCCGAGAAAAGCAACAACCTCATTTCGGCGCCTCCCTGCTGCTGTCCTTCCTGACGTACATCATTGGGGCTTCTTCCCACAAATCTCATCGTGCGCCACGTCTGCGGACTCCTGCGAGCCACTTGCTTGCCCTACAGTCTTCATTGCAAGGGGGGGTTTCTTTTCATTCAGCTGAATATGGGACGACTCCGCCAAAAAGTCAAGGCGCAGAATACCACCCCCCACTGAACTCTGTCTTCATCGACGGTTCGTCCGAAGTCTCGCGCAGACCAGGCTTGTGCCGTGGTCGTCAACAGGCTTCCCCCTTGACAAACCGTCCCTGGGATTCCGCTCCTTTGAACATACAGAGTGTAGAGGAGGGGGTTTGGCTTGCAAAAGTTTTGCTGATGAAGCATCCATCTACTGGCCATGACGTTCACTGTTGAGACATCCGCACGGCGGTTTATTCGTCGAATCCCAGCCCGTCAGATTTCACCCGCTCCCGTCTCCTCCGTGTTTGCAATGTATGTCTCGACCATGAGTTATGTTCATTATGGGATCACCCAGTCGATATCGGGCGTCTCATCCACGCGGACGGGCCTTGCAGCTCACAGCGTCCGCACGGACCTCGTCTGGCCCTCGACCTCCGTTCCGGTACCAAGCCTTCGCCCCGCCGACCGCCGTGAAGGACGTCCGTTTGCCCGTACGTCACATTGTATCTGGTAAACCGCTCTGGACTTCCCCAGCTTCCCGGGAACTCAAAGTACCCTCGGGCCGCCCTCCCCCCTAGACCATTGCAGACATGACCGCACATGGCGGCACGGAACATTGGCATCTTCCCACCTTTCCTCCTGCCTTAGCTAGAATGCATCCCATCCCATGCCAACCCATGGTCATGTTCCCACGTTTTCCCGCCACGAGGCACGAGGACTCGGGCGGCCCTCTTCGGGCAAAGCTGGCACGCGCTCTTCCAGATTCAGAGACCAGTTCCAACTGGCGCGTCCAAGGGGGGAGAATTCTTTTTTTTTTAAAAAAGAATCTAGGAATGACCTGCCCCTTTTCACCCTGTTCTTCTGCTCGTCGTCCGGCATCACGTACGTGTATTTGCGAGACTTGCTTTTGGGAGCCAAGTGGACTACTCCCGCCACCGACGGAGATCACATTTGTGGCTGCCCCTCGCCTGATTCTGGCCTCCCTCCGCGGCCTGGTATTTCTCATCGAATCCGACAGCGGCCGGGACCAAGCCAAGTGGCGGCAGCAGGTCGGTCACCATGTTGGGGTTCCAACCTCCCACCACATCACGTTAGCTGTATTGCCGACCTCGAGTAGTACTACTGCCCATCAAGGCACGGTAATATACGCCAACCCTTTGGGCCAGGCCGACTGCCCAAGGGAGGGAGGGGGGGGGGGGGGGGGGGGATCGGGATGCGACGCCGTAGGCTTGCCGCCTCGTCTCGTTACGCCTCGGGGAGACACACCTTGGGTCAAACGAGCGATGCCCTCGCAAGCGGTCGTCCGCTCGGGAGCGATGGTAAAGGGGAGACTTGTCGTGCACGATTGATCCCGTTGCTGCTCGTCCTTGTGACGAATTGTACCAGAGATCACGTCCATGTCACACAACTCGACTGATTGATGAGAGGGATCACATCGGAGGGAAAGAGGTCGTTCAAGATTCTTGATTCAAGACTACCAATACGGAGTAGGCAATACTCGTCAACCCGGTCGTTCCAGTGTTTACCTTGCAAGCGATGACACCCGTTTTTGTAACGCCATCGGAATCATCCCATCCGACCCTTCCCTTGAGCCCCCCGAAACCAGATGAGGACATTTCCAGTTTTGCAAAGAGGATATCATGTTCGTAACTCCAAGCCAACCCGGCCCGCCCGCGCGCCCGTTCAACGCCCAAGGTCTTTCCCGTCACCTCTTCGAAACCCGGCTCGGCGGCCTGTCCGCTGCGACCCGGCCGTGCCCCATAGCTTTCCCACTGCGGCTCGACCTGGATGCCCTTTCCGGCATCGACTTCTTCTTCCGCTTGAGCAGCCCGCGGACCGTCTTGAACGGGAGCACCAGCAGAGCAACCATGGCGAAGAAGGGCATCGTGAGGACGGCCCACACCGACTCGACCAGCCACTGCATGAAGCCCGGCCGTGCCGCGCTGTTCTTGGCCGCTGCCGCAGCGAGTGCGATGGCGTCGTTCAAGCGCGTATCGACGGCCGCGAAGCGCGACTCGGTCTGGAATGCGAGCACCGTGGCTTTCTTCTCGTACCGCCGCACGGCTCGGTTCAGCGCGTCGAGGTCAGGCTGGATGGCGTTGCGGACATCGCGGGCAATGGAGGCTTCTTGCTTGATCTTTAACGTGTCCGAGTTGCCGTTCTGCCTGATCGGCGTCGGCTCCTGCCGCGATTCCAGCATATCCAAGCGGGCCACCAGTGCCCTGACCTGATCCGACGTGACGCCGTCGTCCTTGTACGGGTTGACATGGACGTCCCGTTGCAACTGGATGGTCCGGCATTGAACGAGCTTCATTAAATGCGATATCGGACGGACCTCCGCGGCCAGCAGGAAGATTGTCAAATTGTAGTTGGAGACGAGACCCTCCGAGGGCCGGCTCAGCTGCGCGCGGATTGCATGCAGCAAGTACGCCCCAAGCATCGGGAGCATGAAGCATGATATCAAAGCCAGAATCTCATGCAGCCAGAGCTCCGCCAGCGCGTCCTCCTTTCTGTTCCGGGCCATTGACTTGGGCACCTGTTCCTGCACGAAGGATGTGGGCGTAGCGGGCATCTCGGACGTGTCGTCAATGCTCCCATTCACCGTGTGACCATTCGCCATCGATGCCGTCGTGGACGGGCTCTCAACGGTCTGTTCGTTGTCGCTCTCGTCATCGATCACGGCGCTGGTGCTGACCTCGGCGCGGACGCGTACCACTTGCGCCGAATGATACCAGTTCCTGGGTGGCCGATGTCAGTCCTCGGGTGGTTCTGCACAAGCAGCAAACAAGAAGGCCAAAGAGCGCGCAAACTTACCATGGGTGTGTCACAGACCAATGCAGGAATACGGCTGATAAGCCTAATAGCATGACATCCGTCACGACGGCGCTGCCGTTTTTGAATAGCATACCGCCGACGGCAGGAAGAAGAGCGAAGGCGAGAGGGATCGAGGCCCAGTTCGATATATCGTCGGCTGATGTGGGCAATGTCCCATCGCCAGGTCTCGGGTTCAGGAAGTCTCTAGCTTCGATGAAGCTGTAATCCGACAGGGTTGAGCTTCTCCTCCTCCCCAAGCCCTTCTCCGAGAACGAGCTGTCAGTGGGTATGTGACCGAAAGGCGCACGTCGCCGCATCTGAGAATTCTCCTCTGCCGTCACAGCGCGCCTGAAGTGGCCCGAAGGCGCTGGCGAAGCTGTTGTTCCAGGCGAGGACACGGTCTGCTTCCTGCTGATGTTGCTCGTCGCCGTGACCGGCGAGGTCGGACTTCGGGAGCTGTTCTCGTCCGACATGGCGAATGACATGGAAGGGTCCAGGCTGGGTGGCTCTCTGTATTAGTTGTGGTTGTTGTCCGCTGTTCTATGGGCGTCGTCCTGATGGGTTCAGTTTCGGTGTCGGTCGATTGTACGAGATTCGATGGAAGACGTGCGAGTCCAAGCTAGGGACAGGCAGTCGAGGGGTTTTGAGGGCTCTTCATCCGCCCTTGTGAATAAATGGGAGGGGTGTCTCTACTGGTAGGCCTTCCTCCTGAATTCTAGGAGGAAAGGGGAGGGAGAGAGGAAATGAGGAAGAGGCGCCGGGGGAGAGGAATGGCCGCTAACTACAGATCGGGTATCGTGTGTCTTGTAGAGAGAGACGTAGTGTGGAGTAGCGTGCGTGCGTATGGGGGAACTGGTCCGACCAGGCGTACCAAGGGCGACAAGTGGAGCGCCACGGGCTGATGATGATTATGGCGTGGTATTCTGACGGGAGTTGACGTGGTTTTAGTCGCTGGGCTTTGGTGGTGGCGACTTTGGATCGTCCTTGCCTACCTCAGCTAGGTAAGGTACCAGGACGTAATTGCATAAGGGGGAGAGAGAGAGAGAGAGAGAGAGAGAGAGAGAGAGAGAGAGAGAGAGAGAGAGAAAGAGGGAGAGAGCGTCCGCCAACTTGAGAGTGTCAAATCGTAGTCGGCGACGTGCGGCCGAGGCAAGGTGCCTTGCTTGCCCTTTGTCCCGCGTCAGTTCGCTTCCTCTCAAGGCGTGATTCGGGATGAAAAGAAGCTTCGAGGAGACGTGGGCGGGAATCGGGGGCGGAAGTCGAGAGGGTAGAAAACGGGACGGGCCAGGTGCTGAGAGACACGCGAGGTGAAGAAATGCGCCCGCAGTGCGGGATGGAAGGTGGACGGCAATAGGAAATACGGCAATGTAGGTAAGGAATCAGGCTTGCATCTGGCTGAAGTGTCTCAGTCCAACCGAGGCAAAGTATACTGCCCTACATAATGCTACGGCAAGTACATGGCGAGGAAACCCGGATTTGAAAGTTTACATTAGCAGCTTGCTGTGGTTGGTAGGGAGCTGCGCCTGGGCTGGAGCAAAGGCCGCTGGCGGCTTGGAGTGTGGTTGCTTCACTGCGTTGCTTATGGCCCCGTCGATGCTGACGACAGGGTGATGATGCAGTGATGCAACCCGCGCCCCTCCCACCCCCGCTCCCGCTCTGCCCGCATCCGCATCTGGCCAGCCCTGAAGACCCTGCCTGTTTGGAGATCCACTGTGGACGTCGGGCTGGGCCGAGAGAACCGTTCTCCGACTCCCACTTCAACCTCACTCCGTCATCTATTTCGCATTTTACATGTCCATCTCCATGTTATTTCTGCTTCTGCCTCTTCGTAGAGAGACGTTCGAAGACAGTCACGCCGTTGCACATGCCGGACGAGCTTCAAATACGTCAACACATCATTCTTTATGTGTAGGCTGCCTCGGTCCTTAGCCACACATAGACTAGTGAGACGTGAAACAGCTATCTCATCCCACCCTTTTCCTTCTCGGCGCACGCGTCTATAGCGAGCGACATTCACTTACAAACCCATCATCTTCTCGTCGTCACCAGTGGGAGGTCAAAGATAAGAGAGAAAAGAGAGGTAAATGCGCACCTCCCCTAAACCTTATCTGGCCTACTACCATCATGGCTTGTGATCCACCGGCTTTGGAAGCTCGTGAACCATGCTTTACACCACGCGGGTGATCATCAAGGGATGAACGACCCATTAAACCCACCTCTGGCTTGGCTACGGCCAAGATTCCCGGGTTTCTCTAACTTGGTTATGATTTGGCCCGTCCCTCCACCACAACAAACCCAAAATAAAATATAAACTAAAATAAAACACAAACCCTCCGAGTTGTTGTCGTCGCACATGTTTCGTCATCTACAACCAATCCGACTTCGCCCCCGCCTGATCCGATGTACCTAGATACCGTGGGCTGGGTGGGTGTGGCGATGGGGAAAGCTGGTGGGAGGCAAAAGGCCCTGGTTGCTTCGTTCCTGGCCGGCGCGTTGACCTTTCCCTAGAGAAACGGCCGCTTGGCTTGTTTGATGGGAACAGATATAGTGACAGCAACGTCATCGGCGTCGGGTCGAAAGCCGTGCCACGGTGTCCGCCAAAGCTGTCCATGTCATCATCTGAACCTGGCCAGGCGTAGTGCCCTTCGTGCAACAGAAGGGCCTGCGAATTCCGCCGGGGCTCCGCGGACCTGGCCGTGCCCGTACAATAGGCGAGCGTGTACTCCAGAAGGTCTGTCGAGGATTGCCGTCATCAAGCCTGAGTCGCTCAGTCTTGTCTCGCTACAGTGGTGAAGCATCGTGACCTGGCCCCAGGATGCGACAAATCCGGCTCCGCGAGCTGAAAGAAGCGGCAAGCGACATGGTAGCGGGCTGGGTGTTTCGAAAAAGCTGGGGCCGCTGCATGCAACAGGCGCTTCTTCCATCCGTGACATGCTCGGTTTAGAATACATCGCTCGATGTCGTCAGAACAACAAACAACGACCTAGCCAACCAAGGTAAATCGGAGCATGGACAGTTTCCGTATCGGGAAGCGCCGTCCAAGGACCAGAAGCGGAATACTATGTAGCACGTAGGTAACCGCCATGAATCGAATCATCAGTGCCGGTTTGCGGCCACCAGGTGTCTAGGAGGCCATGGGGATGGAGCCAGCTGGGAAGACGCGCGTCCAACGGGTGTGGTGTCAGGCGGAAGCCCCAGTGTTCTCCACGGGGGATGTCTCGTCGACATTGTCATCCCAGCCGCCGGCGCAAACGATGTGCAAACATAAACTAAAACGAAAAGTGGGAAGGGTTCTGAAGTCTAGCCTGTTGCGGCCATGCATGCCCGAATAATGTAGAAGCTCTGCCGGGCGGGCAGAAACTCGTCTGTGACAACCAGCGGCAACAACAACAACAACAACAACAACAAAAACAACACCTCCGCTCAGTAAACATACAGGTACATACATATATACATACCCAGTTTCGTATCCTCTCTCGAGGTCCGGACAAAGCTAGTGATCAGGCTAGCCAAAGGTAGCTAGCAGATATCCTAAAGCGGCTAGTCAAGATCTACATCGCTAAGCTCAATATAAAAGGCGGTCAGTGTATTCACCTCCTACCTGCCTACCGTTTTTGCTGCTCTTTGCCCCTTAACTATCTGCTTACGTACATGACTGACCCTTGCTTTCTGCCGGAACACTATACCTCTTACAGCAGCCGCAATACCTCTTGCCGTTAGTCTGGCTTACTAGCTTTGTCCGGACCTCGCGAGAGGATACGGTATGCGGCTCAAGCTACGCAACGACCGTATGGATTAGCGAGCGATGCACAGATAGTCGCGGCTGAGGAGCAAACCGCGTGCGGTTGGCTGTCTTGCTTGGATAGTGTGATCGACAGAGGAGATACTCTGCATGTCTCATGCAGGTGTCAATACCAACTTACCAAGGTAAGACCCCAGAACCCCCCGGCCTAGCCACTCTCAAGGGAGATAGCCTCGTTCTTGCGGTTACAGTACTGGGTCAAAAGTCTGGCAACAGCAATTAGAACAACCCAAGCAAAAGGAGCCTATCAGCTTGGGGTCACTTCACAGTGCACCACAAAAGGACGTGTGTCTCACCACCCTAGGTATGTTGCTGTTGATTGGGCCATCCTTATTGCTGTTGCCAGACTTTTGACCTGGTGCTGTAGGTAGACAACCGGTCCAGTTATTCATCAGGTTCTTGCTCGGAGATGCGTCTGAGAGAGCATGACGCAAGAATTATTCACGTTCTGGCCCTTTTCGACAAAGGCACCCCCTGTCCGCGCCTGAAAATAGCCGGCCGTGGAAAGAATACCTATGGAACGGTCCAGCCGAGTACGGATAGTGTCGTATGCAATGAGCGCAATGCACATGCACTGGGACCTCTCTCTTGCAAAATGGTATCCACTGAGAGCGATTCGTAGGTACCTACTTATTAACAGGTAGCTACGCACGTACCTGGGTAACTACCTATGGTAAGGTACCGGTAGGTGGTATTGGCGCCCCCGCTACCTGAACCAGAACTGCACATACGACAAGGGGAACTCCCAGTCTGTGGTTCCAAAGATGGATCGGTCGAATCTCCAACTTGTCAGTTTTGGGGTGTTTGGCAGATCCATGTTCCCGTTCCGTGGTAATTTTTCTGGATCTGGACGCAGTGGGAACATGTCTTGAACCAGCTGGATATCCAATGTACAAGGAGTACTCCGTACATGTGTCCGTAGGATAACCACAGTGTCAGAAACAGCCACTACAGTGATACCCCTACGGTGTACCGAGTCCCGAGGCTTAAAGTCTCGATCTCGGAGGCGTCGTCCATGTTATTATGTAAGAGAGGTTTCTCCTATACGGTTTACACTCTCTAAACAAATAGTGCATCTCGACAGTGTGTATAGTTAACACAGTGTAGCTGGCGACCTTACGAGGGACCGCCTTGTACTTGTACTTGTGTGTTCTTAGGATACTATTATGCAAGGCCGACAGGCGAATTGCCGGCCTCCTCTTCGGGACTGGTAATCATGTCATGTCACGGCAGTTGGCGAGGTGGACACGACGCACAGACGGGCCCGGACGCGACGGCAGCTGCTTGATCAGCGTGCAGAGATTTCTATTACCTATTACTCTAACGGTAGGGCTATTCTTTCTTTCATGGTCGTGCTACATATGCTTGTGGCCTGGGCCCGGAGGTGATGGTCAGCCGTTGCAGGGATGTTATTTAGTATAGATGGGCGGGCCGTTTACGAAGCAGCAGTTGACCTGGCTCTGCCCAAGAAATAGTCAGTCATTCCTGTCGAGGCCAGTGCAGTGCAAGATCCATGCCGAAAGATGTTGTGAATAGAGAGGGGCATGCGGTTGGGATGTCGTTTGTTAATCTCTCTACCTACCTCCTTTATGCCACGAGATTTCCGGATTCTTATTGTTTTTTTTTATCTTCTCGATTCAAAGCAAGGCGCACATTTGCTTCAGCCGAGCCGGGCAACCCGTGGGAACCCCCCTGGCTTCTGGCGGGTCTTCGCCGGGCAACAAGAAGAACCAGCCAGGGTGACTCTCCGGGGTCGCGAGCACAGAATGCGTCACTCGGAACCAGCAAAACTTGACGCAACACAGGCGTGTCAGAGCCGAGGCCGAGCCTGTGTGGCGGCAAAATTTGCAAGGCTTCCAATATAATCTTAAAGCACCTTGTCTGTTGACCGGGACGACAGGGAGGTAATCCCCGAGGCTAGGCGCCATTCGAGTCAGCAGGAAGTCGTAGGCGACGGCGCCGGTCCGTCATATCATATATTGATGACCAGGGACGGCAGGTCAGTCGATAGAGAGCTCTCTACGGATATATCGCGTCTAGTCCTCTCGTTTCTTTTTTTTGTTTTCTTGCAGCGAGACCCTTTCCAGGCTAGAAAAGACCAGAGAAGCACCGACAGAATTGTTGAGGCCTCCCCCCTGCAGCTATCTATAACCGGAATCACCTCGCCGGACCACCGAATCGTCGTATGATGGGCGCTGCTCCGACAGCGACTCGGGACTATTAAGTAGAGCAGCCGTCTGTCTCTCTTTTTTCCCATCAGGGTTTCTTTGCCTGCGACACTGCGGGAACCCGTGGACGACAGCCTGCCTTGTTGATCGATCGGACTTTGGCACGCATATTCGTGAACTCGTATGACGAGGGGCGACGACGACGACGACGGCTACGACGACTCGAAAGATCAATTCGCGAACCCAGGACCACGCACACGCAATCGCGCACATATATACGGCTCGCGACGTAGGCGATTCCGCTCTCTCCTTGGCCGAAAACGCTTCTCAATAGAAGCCCGAATCAGCAAGCAGCAAAGACGAAGCGAGGCAGCCACAGATCCGCTGAACCCCCACTTCTATCATTTGCATTGAGGGGGGGACGGCAGCTGCAGGAACGCGTTGGATCCGAACCACTACATCACACACGCAATCACGCAGCAAGGAGGTAGAGGAAAGCCAGGACGCGGCCGATCGTGGTCTCCTCCAGATTCTCCTCCCCCTCCCTTGTCGTTCCTGCACCTTTGACATAGGTACGCATCCTCCACCTCGCGTCCGGAGTATCTATCTACCTATCTATCCCTATCTGTACTTCGTACCTACTTTGTTTGGCCCGGGTCACTCGGATCTACCGGTACCTACCGTACGTATATAGGTTGGTGGCCCAAGAATTCTCTTCTCCTCTTTCGCTCCTGCCTGCCAGCCATTCCCAAAAGGTGGGTGTGGTGAAGCGACTAGGCAGGTGTGAACGCTGAGGGAGGGAGCGAGGGAAGGAAGTATCGATTCCTCCCCCCACCCCGGCCTCTTGCCGGAACGTAGCGGCTGGCCTTCCCAAAATGCTGGGACTGAGCTCCAACCCAATTTCCGCCATTCCACCCCTGAACGCCATCCCCACCTTTCATTCAACACAGTCCGCCTGCCTTCGGCCGCTCATTTGGGCGCAATTCTTTTCACTTTCATCGATTGCCAACTGCACCCGTGCCTGCGCCGCCCGCGCTTGTGCCAATACCAGCACCAACAGCGACAGCGACACCACCCCTCGTCCGCCTCCTATTGAGGCTTCTTGGCCCAACTCCAGGACCAAGACCGCTATTGTTGCTGCTACTACGGATATCGCCATCCTCATCACCACTAAGACGGCCAATCACACTCTTCGCCCTCTTCAACCCCTGCGACCCTCCATTGGCCGCATTCGCATTGCTAGCGCTTGCATTGATAACACCATCGCAGTTCAAGCAAAACCCAAAGGTGCAGCCCGAGCCACAGTCGTCTGCACCTGCACGATTTTGCATTCCTTTGTCCGTGTCCCCACACATCTAGCTGCAAACCTAATCGCTCTGCTGCGCGAACCGAACCTCACCATTCGACAATATCCTTTCTCCAGACACACACGGTCCTCCTCCTCCTCCCTCTACTCCCTGCCCCAGCGATTGTCTCAATCACCCCTCTCGCTCCTCCCACCATCGCCGCCGCCGCGTCCGCTTAAAGAGGCCCTGGCGACCTCAAAGAGCCTGGCCCAGGCGTCGCTGCAATCTCCTCGTCGGCAAGACCCATTCTCCACCCTGCCCCGTAAGGCCGTCGTCCTCGCGGCGGCCTTCGTTGAACCATTCCTCCCACGGCTTCCCACGCGAGAAACACGCCTTTGTCATCGCCCACCTTAGATGCTTCCGCAAATCCTCGACTCACCACGCTTTCGCAGCAACCCGCTTATCCTGGCGCTTCGCCCGACCTGCAACGTCCAGTAGCCGCCGCCGCCGCCGCCGCCGCCGCAGCCGGCTTGTCTCAATTCCATCCCCAGTCCCTGCCACACCAATACGACCCCAGAGAATATCTCCTGCATTCTCCCTTTCGGAATAGTGCAGCCTCCTCTGCCGCCCGTCGACTTCCTCACCTCTCCGCTGCCCGTCTCTGGAACCCGACCAACTCCACCCCCAGGCTTCCCGACAAGCCCCAACGTAGACGACGTCCATCAACACCGCCCCTGCCCACCGTCCCGCTATCTCACCCAACCCTCGGTCCATCTTCCCTCTACCCTGCCGACTCCTTGGGAATCGCTGCCGGCGACTTCCCGTTGCTGGCTCTCCCCGAGCAGCGCCAGACGCGACATTCTACCTCCGCCCGAGCAAGCCTCCACGTCGACCGGAGTGGTAACGCCGAATATCGCATTAGCCTCCCCCCCTCGCTTCATCATTCGTACGACGGAAGGAGGTCAGCGGATCCTTCTCCAACTGCTCCCGGATTCGACGCTGGCCCCGCCGACGCTAAGGAACGACCAAGTCCCCTCGTCCGCGACTTTGCCTTCACGGTCGATACCGACAAGGGAAAACAAAAGGTCGTGATGGAGCAGGGAACCGAAAGCCAGACGCGAGGCCCCTCCAAGGACCTGGAAAGGGGTCCCGATGTGCTCCCACGCTACTCCAATGCATCGGCTGGCGATGCCATGGGCATTGGCTCCCCCATTTCCTCCATTTCCTCCTCAAACTCATCCATCATGGGAGAGGAACTGCCGCCAGATATGGGTGAGGAATGGGGACCGCAACACCCTTGCTTCCCGCACCTCAACCCTCACGTCCCTGTCGACTCTCCCGAGTATCGAAACACTCGAATCATTCGCGTACGTCGGGACTGGTTGATAGAAGGAGACCTGGCACCGACCTTCTCCAACCTGTACCCTGAGATTCTGGACCCGGCAGGCTTGTCAGAACTGGAATTTCGAAGGATCATCGACAAGCTCAACGGCGAGCTCATTCCCATCTTCAGCCCGTATAGTTGGAGAAACATCTTGGACGGCTTGTTGGGCCTTATGACGGGCTGGTTATGGGATGACCTGGGCTTCACCGGAGTCAAGGCTCGGCTGGACCGCCTAGAACGTTGGATCGACCAGTGGAACACCGAGATGGAGAAGACTGTTGGCAACGAGGACGGTTCGATGGCGCCGCGCATCATCTCCCTAAGGAAAACCGGTTACATGACAGTAAGTCTACCATCCCTCTCTGCTCAGCTCAATGTGCTGACCCGGACTGTAGCTGGATATCCAGATCCCAGACCCTGAAATCGCTCCAGCCCCTAGCACGCCTGGGGGCTCGAGATCCGAAGGTTTGCCGATGGAGCCGCCGCCCGTCGCTGTGGCATAATCTTTGACTGTGAACACGAGTTTGCCTTTCGTGGTGCACCCTTCTTTTCAAATCCGTATTTCACCATACACTGTTTCTAATACCGGATCGACCGCGGTGTGGGACGAACCGACATGAATTTATACGACCGTAGCCTCTCTACCTTACGAGGCACTCGATATCCATTTATTCCCCGGGGTTATTTGGCTTTTGTTATTCGCCACAACCCCCTACCCTACCACTAGTACCTTATACCAAGGCATGGCGCGGAGTTCAGGATCCCTCTGGCTGGGACAGTTATGAATGCGATTTTCAATGACTTTATTGTTGCTTGCTGGTTGCCTTGGCGCTTTTGATTACGTCACTCAATTTCACGGGTGGGATTTTGCGGCTAAGGGCGATCGCTGAGATGCGGATGACCCTGGATATGCACAGAAAGGGGGGGCCATCGAACGATCCTTCTGACCAGCACTCGACTCGAACCACATAGCTGGGTCCGGGACCCTGTAATATTTATATAAAAGATCTCCATCCCTTCAACACTTTCCTTGATCATTTCGTGATTATACCTCTATGCCTGATGTCATATGTCAAGCCTGGAATATCCATTCGAACCATGACAGCGACATTCGGCATCGACGGCGGGCTCTGATTAGGCGTGGCACACAAGTCACTCATCTACAGTCTTCGTCCGGCCACGACTAGGTGTGTACGTGGGCCCCGGCCTGCGAGGTGGTGGCGGACTGACCGTCCAGAGACGCCAGATCCCTGTGACGCCGGGGGTCGAGGGAGCTGGAGGCACCTCTGGCGAGTGGCTGCGAGGCCAGCCGCGTTTTGCCACGGTTCTGGGTCCTGGTGCCGAGACCGTGCTCCAATTGTCATCGATGGATGCTTGTGCTTTTGCGGGATACGACAGCTCTTCGGCAGAACTCTTAGGCTCGCCTTGATACAATGAGGGAGGAGAGGGTGCCGAGCTGCGGGCCATGGAAACGTGACTAACATGGGCGTGTTGAGAGCTATCGTCGGCCGACTTGGTCAGCTCCAGGCTAGCGATGGGCGTCAGCTAAGAACCCTCAACGTTCTGGGATAAAGCGAGCGCAGCACCTACTCTGTCTCTACCTGCAGCGAGATTCCCGACTGCCGGCCTGTTCGCCCCGAGGCTGGCCCCTCGCGGAGCCACGGCAAGACCCTGCCAAGGCCAACGGTCCGCAATGCCCGGTGATAGGTCCCCGCCGCATCCTCCGTCATACCGAAGAAGTAGAAGACGGGAGCCGCGGTCGCGATGACCAGGTACTGGTGGTTGAGCTCGAAGAAGCTAAGCCTACTACTAGGGAGGAGCAGTATGGTGTTCCACGGGAACGGGCTGACCCGCTGCCGGATCCCATGGAGGTCGAAGTCGTTGGAGAGAAAGAAGGCCCTGAACTGCGTGGCAGCCATGTAGCATTCTACCGGGGCGTAGGGCACGAGGACGCAGACCATGACGAGAAAAAGCCGCCGTCGGGTCCGGCTCGCCCGGGAGGCAGCCGAGCCGTTCGACATGAGAGCCGGGCGGGTGAACTGCGCAACCAGACTGTAGCGCCACCAGGTGAGGACTGCGAATCGCCGTGAGTGCTAGGCTTTTTTTTTCTTTCTTCTTTTCTTATTCTTCTTCTTTTCCCGCAAACGCACATACAAAAGACTTACCGGCATAGTATACCGACGCGAGAACCGCCAGCAGGCGCGGGGCCAGGAAGAAGACGAATAGGGGCCAGCTCTGATGGCCGCTCCACATGCACCCGGTCAGGGTGACAATCCTGTATCTCTGCGAGGATATCGGATACAGCAAGCTGGCCTGTACGACCGGGAGCGGGAACACGATCAGGGCCTGGACGAGCCTCTTCCTGCGCCTCTCCCGACCGGACAAGGGGCTGGCTCGCGATAGGTCCATCTGCTGAGCGAGGTTGCGGGTGATGGCGACGACAGAGAGCCAGTATAGGGGAATGAGGGGCTGATAGAGGTAGGCGTGCAGGTCACACCACACGCGGCCGTCCCACCACCTGGACACGTTGTCGTCGCGCCAGGCGAGGGCGTTGGCGGCGGCGAGGCAGTTGGCGACGACGACCGTGCCGACAAAGACGGCTGGGGCGAGCTCGCCCTGGCGGCACAGGTTCCGGAGCGGTATCCAACAGCCGGCGTTGGCCAGGAGGGCCAGGACGACGCGGCAGACGAGGTTGGCCTGGAGATAGGCGTTGGTGTACTGTGCCGACGGCGGGTCGGGGATCAGGAGAGAGGCGCGCGCCGCGAGCATGCCGGCGACGGGCGGCATGTCGAACGGCCGAACCGCTAAGTAAGTGTTCGAAACGACGCTACCGTTATTCTTTGCCTTCGAGAGGCGGTGCAGACTCGATGGCTTTCCGACTAAACGCATCCGCCAGACACGCAGAGAAAGCCAACGGGTTAGAAAGACAGAGAGGGAAGCTGTATCCGAAACATATAGGACGACGACAAAACACCGGGTATGCCTAAAGCCAGCTCCTAGCCGGATCACGACAAAGATATAGTGAAAGGCTGGCAGCGGACGACGACCGCCTGGCAGGGAACGAAGCAGATGCGAAGGGCCTGCGAAGAAGGAAGATGCAGAGAATCGTAAAGATACGTGATAACCGGTTAAGCGTGCCCCCCTTAGAGAGAAGACAACACCGGCAGCATGCGATAGCTAAAAGGGAAAGGTAGTTAGTTCGGGAGCGGGAAAGGGGGCCCTCAACTTGGGTCGTATTTGTAGTTGACCACCATTTGTTGTCATTTGTTCGCTTCCCTTGCTCTCTTCCAAAACGGCTATTAAGGATCACTGTAGGAAAGCCATTGGTCTGCGACCTGTACGAGCTCCTTTCCTCGTGTAAGCCGCAACGCAAGGCCTGCTTCGAGCAGGGCAATGTCTTTGAGCAGACGGTCCGGTCAAGCCCATGGTCATATACGACAGGTTTGAGCCACAACTCGACATGAGACTCGGAATGGGGTCTGACTCCGGGTTGCCGTGCACCAATGCTGGACAGGCGCCGTCAAGACCTGGATATCTAGACTCAAACTTCACAAAACGCATACAGAGGCAAGCCGTCAACCAATCCGGCTACCCCGCTCGGAGGGGGCAACAGAACATGGCCATCGTGGCGGGTTAACCAAGGTGGTTTCTCGATCAGAGAGGGACACGGGACCCTTGGCATCGAACATGAAGTGGTTGTGTTCCCAAGAGAATGGGAACGACGGTTATCGAAGGGTTGGATTGGCGACTGCAACGTCGATAACCTAGTACGGGAAGAGGGGTACAATTGGGAAATGCAGGCGAGCTAAGCCGCAATCCCCGACCGTCAATGCATGTACAAATATAGGGGACCTCCCAGCTGGAGGGAGGATGTGCACAAGCCACATGCCCAGTAAACGGCTGTGGCGTGTGCCTGAAACCCCTGAATTATGGGACCGCGTCGACGGGCGCGCGCACCGCGTACAAACTGATAGCTCCCATTTTTACACCCCCTCTACTCCGTAAAAGCCAACGCCTCCGTCTCGTCGATTCCGATACATCAACACCGCGTTCCTTCTTCCGCTCCTTCATCACACACACACACACACACGAAACCAAAAACATCAAAAAACAAGAATGTCTGCCGCCGCCCTCTTCCGCCGCGCCGCCGCCGCGCCGCGCATCGCCCGCGCCTTCAGCACCTCCCCGTCTCACAACGTCGCGCGCATGACCATCGTCGGCAACCTCGCCGACAGCCCTGAGCTCCAGACCACCAGCACCGGCCGCGAGGTCGTCCGGTACTCCCTCGCCAGCAACACCGGTCCTCGGGACAACCGCCACACCAGCTGGTTCCGCATCACCAGCTTCGAGCCCGAGGGTCCCCGCCGCGACTTCCTCCAGAGCCTGCCCAAGGGGTACGTTATCTCCCTCCCGAGTTCGGATGATCGTAGAGACAGAGAGAGGGAGAGAGAGAGAGAGAGCGAGAGAGTGAAACGGGACACATCTGGGACATGCTAACGTGTGCGGTTGCAGATCTCTGCTCTTCGTCGAGGGTGAGGCCACCATGAGCACCTTCCAGGACGCAGACGGCAAGAACCGCAACATCCTGAACGTTATCCAACGTACGTCTTTCTCCCTTGGCCGCAATGATCGAAGCATCCTAACTCCTTGTCCAGGCACCGTGGAGGTCCTCAAGCGCCCCCAGACCGGCACCAACCCCAGCGAGTAAACGTATCCATCCCTTAAGGACGGACGGGTCGGATCGGAGCTCTCTGCTTCGCATGTCCGACAAAGATGGGTGTATATTCTTGGGGACTTCGGACGACCCTGGGCCCTCCATCGCTCTCCGCTCTTGACAATATTTCCTTGTTTCTGTATAACAACTTGACTGAACGTTGGACCGGGTAAGAGCGTATTGTATAAAGCATTTCTTAGGACGATAATGGATACCACGGGTTGCTCCTCGCCCGCACCAATGGTTTGCTGTCTCCACTCCCCGTGCAGCTCCGCCTAAGGCCGCTGCCTCACTCAATGCCTCACATGTCACGCGAAAACGGCCTGGACTGTCCGGAACAGCCTGTCTTTTCCATGTTCTATCCAAAGTAGCTCGCCCGTGGGGGGGCCGAACCGCCGTTCTATCAGACAAGTGTGCAGCTGTCCATGCAGCCGAACCCGGCAGCGACACCGCCTTCGTTGCTGGTGTCGCCCTTGGTCCGAAGCAGATAGCCCGCCTCCTCGTTGTGAAGGACCTCCCCGGTGCCCTGGTTCCAGACCGTCGTGCCGTAAATACCAAGCTCGCAGATGACGCCGCCCTCCTCGAGGTTGCCGTTCCGGAGGATGATGTTGTCCTGCTTGGGCGGGGTGATGAGCTCCATCAGGATGTACGAGCCCCAGTGCGTCTCGGGGGTCTTCTTGAGGAACGCGGGGATGTCCTCGCGGTAGTGGTTGTTGCCGCCGCCCTCCCTCTGCGGCTTCAGCACGTAGTTCTTGCAGAGCTCCGGGTCCTGGGCGATCCCCCGTGCCCTGAGACCGGCCTCGGACGTGTCCATGGGGAAGATGTTTGTGAATGTCTGGAAGACTTCCGCCGTCTGGGGCGCGTCGTCGGGGATGAACCGGCCCAACACCGAAGGCGACGACCCCGACCTCGGCGTGGCCAGAACCTGCTGTATCTTCTTGCTGCCCGCGAGCTGCGTCAGGACAGTCGGGCACTTGATGGCCGCCGACCGCTCGAGGTGGTAACGGGCCTCCCAGGAGCTCTCGTCCGGGTAGTCGGACGGGTCGTACCAGCACCGCAGGTAGGCGACGGCGACCTCGAAGACCTTGGACGGGTCGCGGGGCAGCTTGTAGAGCAGCTGCCGCTTGGCCGTCGCGGCTACCTCGGTGTGCCGCAGGAGCTCGGAGCAGGGCACGCGGAAGACGGGGACGGGGTCGTCGGGGGAGCTGGCAAGGGCGTACTCGAGGTGGCGCTGGTCAAAGATGTTCCTCTCGCCGCCCTGGACGACAAAGATGACGCACTTCCTGTGGCCGAGCTCCGAGGGGCCGTAGGCCTCGAAGGCGGCGCGGATGCCACCGGCGAGGCCCTCCACGCTCTTGTTCTCGGGCAAGTCGAGGGAGCCAGTCTCAATGGGACGGTCCAGGAGAGGGTACTCCGCCACGGAGAGGAACCTGGGGTCCGTTAGTTGCGGGCTTTCTTTTGTCCATGTCCATGCATCTGGGCCATTACTTGTGGAGGAGCGAGGTGCGGGATGAAAGGCCGCCAAAGGACGAGGCTATCGTGTTGAACTCGACTTGCTTCACCTGGCGCTTGGGCTCGCCCGAAGAGGCGTCTTGGTGGACGAGGTAGTCCGACCTGAACAGTCCCAGGGACAGGCTCTATGCATCGTTAGTCTCGTCTCGTGAATGCGAGGTAGAGCATACCTGGGTGTATCCCTCCTTCTTCACTCGTACGTGAGTATCCCACAGCTTACTGATGAAGTCGTCGCCACCCTTGACTCTGCCGGATCGTTAGACGCGAGTGACGAGGCGCGGCCTCCGGCCCAACAAATCAGATCGTAACGTACTCGTTCACCATTGCACCGAGGAAGTCTTCATCTCTGCTGATGGAGCCGTAAAGTTCGTTATAAGTTTTCTGAACAGACCTGGCCTGCTCGAAGCATGACCGAGGAAATGGACTGGGGAAGAGCGTCACCGGCACGTTGACGGCCAGAATGCCCTTGGGGTCCGATTCGGCCGGGACAACGGCGGGAGGTGGTCGGACGGATAGGCCGTTGCCAATGGCCCAATCCTTCACGGTTTGTACGAGGGCGTCCTGCTCCGACTGAGACAGCCGGGGCGGGTACTGCTCCTTGGTGAGGGTCGAAGTCGCCATCGTAAAAGCTTCCTATAGCCCTCTGCAGACTCCAACGGCACGGGCACGCGTTCAAGGGTGAGCCGGTTTGGTTATGCGACTGAGTGATTAATAATTGTCGGCCAACGCTGGATGGATCGTGTATGTGGATGCCCGAGATAGGGCCGTTTGAGTTACACGGACTCACAGGTATTCAAAGGTTGGGGAGGAAGGGAGATGGCAGGCAGGCAGGCAGGCAGTAGAGGACTTCAGTGAGTGCTTGGATGCGATAACTCAAGTACCAGTTACGATGTTGCATGACGAGCCGGCGGGAATCTGAATGAGGATGCTGGACTGAACTGGAGGGGAGAGAAACCGGTTGCCCCACCATGAGCATCCATGCCCACCTTGGGATGGGTTTCCTAGTTTAGGTACGATAATGATTTGAAGGATACAAGTAAGACGTGACCGGTCTAAGCGGGTATGTCAACTCTTTTGATACACACACGAGTCACTAGGTAGTATACCAGCCACAGACCAAGACGAAACGAAAGGTTTGGTGGCAGTACGAAAACCAGGAGATCATTGCTACCACTCAATTCTTCCCTGTCGGACGCTGGTGCAAACGCCCAAGCAGTGCCCCCCAACGTGCCTGTCACTACCCCTCCATCACACTAAGCAGAAACAAAGGGAACTGGCAGCTCCTGACCCCACTTCATCCATCTAAACGCCGAAAATCGCACATGGGTCACGTGTAAGGCAAAGCTTATCTGAGTCAAAAAGCTAATTGGCCACGGTTTCGAGTGGCAGGTACCGTTTGAAGATACGTACCTTCAGCGCTTGCCTGCCTACGGGCAGGGGGCGCCTGTTGGGAGGAGGTACCCTGTGTGATCAGGGAAGGTGGGGCTTCCAACTGAGATCTGTGATTGGGACTTTCGCGACTTCACTTACGCGTTGTGAATTCTACGGAGGAGATTCAACACCTGCCCAGCTGTCTTCAACTCTTTTTATCTCAACTACCTAGGTACAAAAAGAGAATTGTCTTTGAGTCACACTCCCTTGGAGTTCAAATCGGAATCCTCTCTCCATCCCCCTCATCCTCCTTCACTCCCTATCAGCCAGTTCTCTACACTGCGTACACATTCATGTACCCCTTCCTCGACGGCTTGTTTGCCTAATAGGGGTCATACGTTTCTTTGTCAGTGCCTTCGTCCCATTGTCGCGCTTTGCAAACAGAAATCTCGTCTTGCCGCTCCAGTATCACCAATTTTCTTTCTGTTTCTCTGAGTTTCGAGCTTCGAGCTTCGAGCTTTGAGCGCGAGGAACGAGTAGGAGCTGGTTGACTTACCTCCATGCACCCTGATCTGACGGCTGACAACTCCCAAGCCCTTATATGTTCGTCCCCTTCGTATGTCTTCATTCCACATCTCCTTCATGCCGCCCGGCCCGAGATCACACTCTTTCTCTCTTGCCACTCACCTCGCCAGCATTGCTTGAATGCTTTATATGCTGACAGAAGCGCCACTATCTAGCGTGTCAACTCATGACTTGATCGGCGATCATCATGGCGGGAGAAGAGGACGACCCCTATGAGTGGGATGTCACCCAAGTGGTGCGCGAATTATGCGGCCTCGAGAAGCGCCCTTGGCACCCGAATGTTGTCACCAAGAGACCCGATCCAGCGACTCTATCAAAAGCGTTGATTGATAACGATATTGACGGCGAAACGCTACTCACCTACCAAGATGTGATGCAGTCCTTCGACGGTATCTTCCAAGGTCTTGGCCTCGTCAAGATCACCCACAAGATGACTTTCGTCAATGCGGTTAATTATCTGAGGTCAAAGAGCCGCGGATACCGAGCGTTCAGAGCCGACGCGGTGAAGCAGGAGATCGAGACATCGACCGATCCACAGGAAGTACAAGTCAACGGCAACTGCGACTTTGCAGTCCCAGACCACACCGGCGCATCGGAGAGCCCTCAAAATAGACCCCCGACTCACGACGTTGATATGCAGGGTAACTCAGACGACTGCATTCCTGCATCAGATCTGCCGTACAGCCAGGCTCTTCCTGCCCAGGAACCCAACGTCCAGGTTCTGATGCAAACCGCTCACTTGGAAGCCCCACAAGGTATCGGTACGGGTCAAGAGACGAGCGAACCGGCCCAGAAGAAGAGAAGAACGGTACCAACATTGGTGTCCACTGATGTCCTTGGAGTGGGCAATGCGCCTATCCGAACTGCCGCAGACGACGTTACTGTGCGGTCTTATGGCACAAAAGACACTCTGCCTCAGCTTCCCGATTCCTTGACAAGGAATCCTGCAAAAAGCTCGGGAGATGAGGGGAACAAGTTTCCTGTCCAGGAGCATGCCTCCAAAGCGTATTTCGGCCCCAGTGGGCTGACTTTGGACGGCCAAATCCCCAGGTCAAGTCTGGTTCAGGACACCAGGGATACAGATGACGGCAGCAGCTCGTTCCTTCATCTCTCGAAAGGCCTGATCCCTGCTGGCCGACGTCTTCAGGTCAGCCGGGCAATGCGACGACTATTCCGCTCGAACAACCAGTCGCTTGCCTTGTTGCAGAGCGGCCAATCTCCCTATGTTGAGCCAGATGAGGAGGATAAGGTCCTTCCCGTCTTTGGCGACTCAGGCGACGAAGATGGCTACGACACGGAGACAAGAGAAGCAATCCAGAAAGAGGAAGAAGAATTGCAAAGGGAGGTGGATCTAAAGTCCCAATACCTTACCCGAGATGAAGTCGAACGTGTGATACAAGATGAGATCCAGCAGATGGAAGACTCGTGGGACGAGAGAAAGCTTCCCAAGAAGCAGCGGAAAGCGAATGAACTCTGGAACAAAGCTCGCCGACGTGGTCTCATCCGACACATCGGTAGCGCCACGGCCAAGCTCGAGATGCTCAACACCCGCATCGAGAAACTATGCCGGGAAATTCGGGAAGACGAATGGCCCAACGAGAATCAGCTCAGAAGACAAGCTCGCTCTCTCGAGTGTAGTGTCGAGGATCGGAAAGCCGAAAGATGGCTCCTCGGCGTCTTGCGAGGGCATGAACCTCCACGGCCGGAATCGATGTCTAAGCCACGACCGACCCCTGCCAGGCGAGAAATCTTGTCTGACGAAGATGGAGAATATCTCACTAGTGAAGATGACGACAACGATCACTTCATCGTCGACGACATGATGGATGTTGCGTGCTCGCCGGTTCCTGATCAGTCCCGACCTGCAAGCCCGATGAACCTGGATAAACCCGAGGAGCTGCTTCAACAGGGTCTTCACGGCCCAGAACTGCCTAAAAGCGAATCGCCGGCCGACAACGTAGTTGACATTCAGTCGGACAATAATATTATCGACTTGACGATGTACGACTCCGAGCCCGGTTCTGAGAAGCACACCGACGAGAACATCATTTGCCTCGATACGCCCCAGAAGGCAAAGACACCCCTAGCGTCGGTTCCGCCGTCTCTCCCCAATAGCGATATTGAGGAACGGCCAAGACTCTCACAGGAGGAGCTTTCAATTCCATACGAACAGCCTGAGCGAATCGGCGTCATCGCACCTAAGATGTGGAAGCTGCATTCGGATAATGAACGACTCCTCATATCTGTCATCTGGCGACTCGACGAGCAACAAAGGCGAGCCTTCTTCCATACCATCAGCACAACGGCCCCGCCTGACATATGGACCGACTTCGTCATGACAGCACTGGAAGATACAGAAGACGATGAAAAGGAGGCTGCGCGCGAAACGGGCACCATCATTGCCCGTCTATTCAGAACCTATGTGTTTCGCAAACTAGCGTCGCCCGCCAGCATCACCAAGCGCCTAAGCGAGCGGAAGGCTAGGGGCATCAAGGGCAAGGTAGAGCGTTTCGAGAATTTTTGCAGTTTCGTAAAGGAGGATGTTGTGCCCTATTTTCCGAACGTCACCCTAAATACGGCTTCTGGTTCAGAAGCGCCTCGGAAGAACTGGCACGGAAATTTTGACTCCTTAATCGGTTATAGTGATGATGATATCGAGGAGTCGTCCTCCTCCAAGAAGCGAAAGCGGGTTGTCATCGTTGACCAAGCAGCTAAAGATCTCAGAGAAAGTGACCGCCGTCGAAGGGAGGAACAGGAGGAACGACGAAAGGAGCTGCGCAAGAAGCTGGCCGCGTCCGGCACCATCTCCAGCGATAAGTCACGGCTAATTATCAACGACGCAAAAAAAGACAATCAAGGTCTGGTTTACGTCAATGAGCACATTGGCAAACAGATCAAATCCCACCAGATTAACGGCGTTCGTTTCATGTGGAACCAGATTGTTGACGACTCCAAGGTGCGTCAAGGATGTCTCTTGGCTCACACCATGGGTCTCGGCAAGACTATGCAGGTCATCACCTTGCTCGTTGCAATCGCCGAGTCTGCGCAGTCCGAGGACGAGTCCATCCGATCACAGATCCCCGAAGAACTTAGACAATCCAAAACCCTCGTGCTGTGCCCGTCGGTTCTTGTGGATAATTGGATGGACGAGCTGTTGATGTGGGCTCCTGACGGGCTTCTTGGGCGTCTCTTCAAATTAGAGGCCATCACAAAGGCACCAGAGAGAGGTCCCATGGTTCGCAGGTGGGACGAGGAAGGAGGCGTGCTGATTATAGGTTACGACATGTTCAAGAGGTTGGTTGATTCGCCCGCCAACGAACTGCCATCGCCTCACGATGCAAAGTCGGTCAAGGAAATCCTCACTCAGAGCCCCAGCCTTGTTGTTGCGGATGAGGCTCACAAGATGAAGAATCCGAATTCAAAGTTGGCGACGGCCACCGCACAATTCAGAACACAAAGTCGGATCGCACTCACTGGCTCTCCTTTGGCTAACAGTGTGCTGGAATTCTACTACATGATCGACTGGGTGGCGCCTGGGTACTTGGGCCCCATTCAGGAATTCAGTTCTCTCTATGCTCAACCGATCCATTTGGGTCTCTACGAGGACAGTCCCAAGTCTGCCTACCGCAAGGCAATGAAGCAACTTGCTGTCCTGGAGGCTACTGTTCAACCCAAGACGCACAGGGCAACAATCAAATCCTGTCTCAAGGATGACCTGCCACCAAAGATGGAGTTCGTGCTTACAGTTCCGGTAACACCCATTCAGGCCAAGCTCTATGACACTTTTCTAGAGTCTCTCAGGAAAGAGGAGAGAGGCGGCGGAAAGATTCTTGGTGCCGTCAACAGCTTCTGTCTCATTGCCAATCACCCCAAGACTTTCCAAACGAGACTGAGAGAGGAGCGCCACGCTTTGGGGAAGAGGGACAAATCGAACCTTACTTTGACAAGCCAAATCATAAGTGACGGTCTCAAGATTACAGGGCTTGAGAAGGACATATCTTCGCCGGCCTTGTCCTGGAAAGTGCGGCTTCTTGTCGCCATTCTGAATGAGAGCGAGAGTGTGGGCGACAAGGTTCTCATCTTTACCCAGTCAATCCCGACCATGGATTACTTAGACTCCCTTTTCCGGCAACAGAAACGGAAGGTTGCTCGTCTCGATGGTAACACGCCGATCAGCCAGAGGCAGCAGAATATCAAGGACTTCAACAGCGGAGACACCCAGCTATACATCATCTCCACAGCTGCCGGAGGCACTGGCCTCAACATTTTTGGGGCAAATCGCGTGGTCATCTTCGATTTCAAGTACAACCCTATTCACGAACAGCAAGCAATCGGCAGAGCGTATCGCATTGGTCAGCAGAAGCCGGTCTACGTCTACACGTTCATTTGTGGTGGCACGTACGAACAGACCCTACATGATAGAGCTATCTTCAAGACCCATTTGGCCTCTCGCGTCGTGGATAATGAGAATCCAAAACGATGGTCCACAAAGGAACATGAGTACCTCAAGGATCGCACGGAACCCCCGCAAAAAGATTTGAGTCCCTTTGCGGGCAAGGATGTTGTGCTCGACAGTCTGTTGATGCATCCCGACCTGTCCCAGGGTATCCGTTCTATCATCAAGACGGACACTTTTGAGGAAGATGATATCACAAATATCTTAACTCAAGAAGACTTGAAGGACGTGAAGGACCAGGTCTACATGAATTCAATCAGAAACACCGATCCAGAGAAGTTCCACAAGTTGGAGCTTGAAAGGGCCGGCAGACTTAACGCTGCGCCGTCAGTGATGGGTATCGCAGCAGTTTCTCAAGCAGCGTATCGGCCCCCAGGTTTGCCCCCAGGTGGCGTTCAAACACCTATACTGCCCCCTCTTCATCCTGGCTTGACTGCAAGAGGTTCACCTTATTCACTGGGCCAGTCTGTCGGTATTCAAAGGGCCACCGCTGCCGAAGTGCCACCGTCAACGGTGCCTGCGCCAGAGCCGGCAGCAGCGCCTTCACACAAAGATGGAGAGAATCTGGACGCAACGCAACAGGGGTCTCCGCAGTCTGTCCCGGATGTCGCTTTGAGCATCGGAAATCTTGTTCAGCAAGACCTTGTGGAGGTACAGTTTTTGTCTTCGAATGTGGGCGATCAGCGCTAACTTGACATACGCCACAGTCTCGAGGCGCCCACCCTATGCCCATCGCCGGTGCCAATACATTCTTCAGGGGCCAACAGGGACCCATGTCCCCCTCACCTGCAGACAAGTCTATTTCTTCACCTTCGGCGAGAAAGCAGACGAACTTGAATTCCGGAATCATCAAATGGCCGGGTCAATTCGAGCAAAAGCTCCTCGAGTCAGTCGACAAGATCGCGGACCCCGAGTTGCTGCGCGCAATCGGAGAGGACAAAAGTGATCTTTGCAAACGGATTGCCAGCTCGACTTGGCTTATAAGGGGCGAGATGAATGAGGGGAAGCTGCCTGACAATTCTCACATGAAGAAGTTATGCAGCTTGGTAGAAAACCCTAGATTCTCTGCGGCGATTCTCACGGGCCATTTGCCTCCAAACAAAATTGCCCAAGCATCGACGGAGAAAGGACTCGACAATCTTGTCGGCGAGCTGACACAGCTTGACAACGACTCTTTTTACGAAAAACTCGGACTGAGAAAGCACTCGGCTAGAGGACCTGACGTATGAGCCCGACTTTTCCGCCTTTTTGATCTCTCCCGCATTTTCCCTTTCATTTCTTCCGCCCTGCAACCTGCACCTATTCGTCATGCAGTGACTTATCGCAGCTAATGGTATGATCAACAGCAGCTACAGAACGTGGCCAACCGACCGAGTCCGTTTCCAGCACCCAATCGAAGACACCCCTTCCGCGAGGAGGATGACGATGACGATGACGATGACAGTGTTGACATCATGAGGGCGGTGGCAGCGCGAAGGAGGCATCGCGCGCCTAGACTTCCCACATGGGCCAGCGAAGCTATTGGGAAAAGCAAGTTGGGGGAACATGGGTGGATACGGGAACCGCCACCGTCAGCAGGGCACGGGTCGTGATCAAGGAGGCATTTGTATTGAGGCTTCGCCATGGTCTAATTGCATTGCAAGGGTCGTATTTAGGATCTGGATAGGCGGTGGGGGGGGTTGGGGCATTTGCAACGCTTGCTTTATGATACCCTTTTATTTTTCTTTTTTTCTGGCGTACGTCTTTAGTTCTCGTTGGCGGGAGGGTTATGGAGATGATCCGGGAGTTGCATCAGCACCAAATGGGCGTTAGCATAGTTGATGGGCTATTTTGGGCGGCTGAATTGAGCAATCGAAGATTGGCACATGGATGCAAAGAGGTGTCGACGTCTAGTGTAGTGTGAAGTGATGGGCATGTGATAACTGCGTGAGACGGCCCAGGGGCGAGGTTGCTGATGCCGCCCGCTGCGATATGTCAGTCGTTCGTTTTGCAGCCGGCTTGGTTTCTCGTGTCAGAAGACTCAGACGATGGGCAGGATGGCCGGAAGCAACATGGGTAAATAACGAGGCCTCTTGGCCCCATCGTAGACTACAATATATTACACTTTGAGACCCAGTAGGAGAGGGGGGGCACTTTAGAGGCGCTCTAAGCGATGTGGCAGGTGACCAAGCCAAGCAGAAGGCCACGCTGATCCAGGTACTTGGCCATGTTTGTCTTGTCCATCCGAAAATGTGTGTTACTCGGGATGTCGTGGGCACAGGAAGAATGAGGGGATCATGGCGAGGGCTGACGAGAAGTCTTGTTTTTCTTATTTGCTGCTTCTCTCATTCCTTCCGGGTTATGCTCGTTCTCCGATCTCCGGGACCCCCGGCGGATCCGTCAATGTTCGTACGATGCACTGCAGTTTTGGACCCACTCCGCTCAACAACGGCGTTTCTTAAAACATGGGCGTTGAAAAGAGAGGCACTTGGAGCCTTGGAGGTGTTTGATCGGGACACTGACCGGTGTCCAACAGGGACGGGACGCCCCGCAGACATAATAAGTGACTCGAGGACGACAGCAACAGCAGCAAACACCGAGAGACGAGCGGAAGGGCAGAAAAACAGAACAAGGGATTTGTGGCCGTTTTTTCTTTCGGTCATCAGAAGCCGCATTTCCAGTGCCGACCAATCAAAAAATTGACGAATCCGAAAAAGATTGGATCGGGCCATTCAGTGATTGGTCAAAAAGACTGACGCATATCCACATTTAGTCAGAACTAGGGGTCCCCCACCTTAGCCGTACGACGGACACGCATGGATGTGCGCTGCACCCTCCCCGGCCTGAGGGACGCTGAAAACGCAAGCGGCGGCATCCCCAGCCCACCACCGCCTAGGTAGAGCCTATTGGGACTCTCGGGTGGCCCATCACCCCTCTGAATATCCCTCTATTGCACCTGCACCGGCCGCCCCGCCATCGCAGACCCGACCCCAGTTTGACTCGGTCCAGGCGCGCACGTACTGGGTAAGGTACCTACGAATACCCTGCGTCTATGTAGTGTACCTGTTTGGTGTCATGGCGACTCCCGAGCCTTCACCGGAGACACACTAAAATAAAGACCGGTCCGGGAATCTGCTCTTTTCCTCCTTCGCCTCTCCTCCCCATCCGCCAAACTTCCCCTACTTCTTCTCCTTTAACCTGAGAAAATCCCACATCCGTCCATCTATATCGACCGCTCCGCCCCCTCCGCCAATTGACTTGTGTCCAGTCCTCGAGCCGACGCATTTCGCTGGCAACGCTGACTTCACATCTCCACGTTGCGCCTCAAGTCGCCACACCAGAAACACCCACAAACCCGAGTCGGATCCATCACCTCTTCCGAACACACGTCTCACTCGAACACCTCGCCCGAACTTCTGCTCGCCCCTCACCATGGAGGCTGCTCTGCGTCAATCCAAGGCCATGTGCCCCTTCTTGAAGAATGCCTCCCCCGCCAAGCTCCGCGCGCTGTCCACCTCGGCTCGTCCCCACGCCATCCAGGCGGCCCCTCAGACGGCTGTCTCCCCTTGCGGCGGAACCATGTCCAAGTTGCAGCTGCTCGCCCACCGCTGCCCCGTCATGGGCAAGGCCCTGACCGTCCAGTCGGCCCAGTACGGCGGCCATGGCCGTCCGGCCAAGGTTGGAAACTCGTCTGTCGCCGGCATTCGCGCGCTGAGCACCAACTCAAAGCCTGGTCGCGCCAGCATCCACACCAGCCGCAGCAACGATGCCCGGCCTGTCGATGCCCCCTTCATCAAAGGACGTGACAGCGGTATGGGAACTCTGCTCTGATTGCTAAGGCTCTAGGCTAACCCTGACGCCAGCTCAAGTCCCCCCGATCATGGCGGCCGCCCGCCAGAACGCCGTTCCCAACGTGGGCATGAGCAATTCTGACGCCTCCAAGGCCAAGTTCAACTACGAGGCTTACTACGCCGCCGAGCTGGAGAAGAAGCACAAGGACAAGTCGTACCGCTACTTCAACAACATCAACCGCCTCGCCAAGGAGTTCCCCCGCGCCCACATGGCTGAAAAGGGGGAGAAGGTTACCGTCTGGTGCGCCAATGACTACCTCGGAATGGGCCGCAACCAGCATGTCCTGAAATCGATGCACGAGACCCTGGACGAGTACGGTGCCGGCGCTGGCGGGACGAGAAACATCTCTGGGCACAACAAGCACGCCGTCGAGCTGGAGGGCACAATCGCCAAACTCCACGCCAAGGACGCCGCCCTTGTCTTCAGCTCGTGCTACGTTGCCAACGACGCCACTCTGGCGACGCTTGGTAGCAAGATGCCCGAGTGTGTGATTCTTTCCGACAGCCTGAACCACGCCTCCATGATCCAGGGCATCCGTCACTCCGGAACAAAGAAGATTGTGTTCAAGCACAACGACGTTGCGGATCTCGAGGCGAAGCTGGCCTCGCTGCCGCTCCACATCCCCAAGATTATTGCTTTTGAGTCGGTGTACAGCATGTGTGGTTCCATCGGCCCCATCGAGGCCATTTGCGATTTGGCGGAAAAGTACGGCGCGATCACCTTCCTCGACGAAGTCCACGCTGTCGGCATGTACGGCCCGCACGGCGCCGGTGTCGCGGAGCACCTGGACTTTGAAGCGCACCAGCAGGGCCGCCCGAGAGGCACCATCATGGATCGCGTTGACATCATCACTGGCACCCTTGGAAAGGCCTATGGATGTGTTGGCGGCTATATTGCCGGCAGCGCCAAGTTCATCGACATGATTCGTTCTCTCGCTCCTGGATTCATCTTCACCACGTCTTTGCCGCCTGCGACCATGGCTGGTGCCAGGACGGCCATCGAGTATCAGATGGGATACGATGGCGACCGCCGCCTCCAGCAACTCCACACCCGTGCGGTGAAGGAGGCTTTGAACGACCGTGACATTCCGGTTATTCCCAATCCGTCCCACATCATCCCTATTCTGGTTGGCAACGCCGAGCTCGCCAAGCAGGCATCCGACATGCTGCTCCAGGATTACCAGATCTACGTGCAGTCCATCAACTACCCCACCGTTCCCGTCGGTCAAGAGAGACTGCGTGTCACGCCCACCCCGGGCCACAAGAAGGAGTACCGCGACCAGCTTGTCCAGGCCCTTGACGAGATCTGGACCAAGCTCGGCATCAAGCGCACTTCGGAGTGGGCTGCTGAGGGTGGCTTTATCGGCGTAGGAGAGGCGGACGCCGCTGTAGAGGAGCCCCTGTGGACCGACAACCAGCTTGGCATCGAGCAGGCTGCGAAGGAGATCAAGGCCGCGGGAAACGTCAACAACGGCTTCGTCGAGGCCTTGCTGGAGCGTGAGGCCAAGGCGGCTGGCCAGGCCGTGAGCTCTGCTCTCTGATTCCGTTCTATTGCCAGGTCACTTGACCTGACACGTTCAACGTTGATATCTTGATAAGGGGAGCTCACGGACCTAAACCACGTTCTTTGGAGCGATCAACGAAGATTTGCTTTTACCACACGCCCGTGGCCTGCTGTTGTTCTCTTTCGATTTGAGATGGCTTATCTATATGATGGTTGATCTCAGTGTTGGCCGCAACACCAATAGTTTAAAAAAAAAACGAAAGTCACCTAGTGACACATCCTTCACCACTTTGACTTCCGTCTAGAATCCCTGTGGTTGCAATCCGTGTGCGGGCCGTTCGTGCAAATAAACGCCATCCGAAGTAGTTACTGACTATGGGCATTAGGTATACTAGTACCTAGGTTGGGGTGCGGATGCATGCTGATTCTCGGCAGGGCAGAGTTAGGTAGGTGGGTAGGCATGCGAGTGCGGTGTCCGACCACTCAGGTGGGGTAACCCGCATTGAGCCTGCAGACACGTCGCCACGCCACGCCACCACACTTCTCGCATGGAGCCGACCTTCTGTGTGGCCCTGTTGTTATTAGTCATCAACTCCGACGGAGACGGAGGCACTGAATTGCTCCGTCTCCGTTCGACAAACGCCATCTCGGTCCTCGTTATTGGTCGGAAATGCCCACCATGACTTACACGAGTCCAGGAGAACCTTTAGGAAGGCATCCCTCAGACGATGGCTCACGATGCGAAGGATCGGTGTATTCGCGTTGTATCGTTTTCTTGCACCCTTTCCTTCCCGTCTCTCCTCCATCTCCCGTGAACCCTCTTCATCGCTAGACCTCATGAGTGAGTAAAGATTCAACATGGACTGTGGGCAAAAGAATAAGGGGCCTCGGGCCTGCGTCACTTGCGCCAAGGCGAAGGCGAGATGTATCTCGGGACCAAAAGGGAGCAACAAATGTGAACGGTAAGTCGGCCAATTTGCCTTCCAAAAGTCTCGCGTTTTTTTCCCCCCCCACCATGGAAAGGAGCTGATGGGTTCATTCAGGTGCCACCGGCTCCGGAAGCCCTGCGGCTCGCAGACTCCTGCGCCTCCGAGACCGAAGAAGGACGCAAGACCGACAAAGGTTGCGGAGCTCGAGAAGAGGCTGAACGAGTTGACGACACAGCTGGGTGCTACCCAGGGCAATGCCAGTGCCACTTCCCCACCCACCGCGGTCGGCAGCGCCGACTCTCCGCTCCCGCCCAGCAACAGCATCAAACCGGCATCGGCCAAGATTCCCATTAATTGTGACCACCTCTTCCCGCCAGACGACGTGCTAGCGGGCGATGACGCGGAGACCGGCGCCTCCGTTCCACTCCCGACGCCGGGCTCTTCGACGGCGGACGACCACCCCACTGTCAGCAGCCGCGGTTGGAGCCAGTCCGACGTGCGCGGCGAGTCACCCTGGCCGCTGAACAACGAGCAAAGTATCATCCTGCAGACGTTCGTGGACGAAATGCAGCCTTTGTACCCGTTCGTAATTGTGCCGCCGAACATGGGCCCAGCGCAGCTCGCCGCTGAGAGGCCGTATCTGTGGAAGGGGATCCAGATGATGGCGTGCCACCTGGATGCGGCGAAGCAAGTGAGGCTGGGGAACGAACTGCTGCAGGACATCGTGCAGGCGGCATTTATGAAACCCGTGAAGAGTCTGGACGTGCTCCAGGGGCTGCAACTCCTAATTGCATGGTGAGGCAGTGAAATCAGAACACTCCAGAGCGGTGCTTGATGAGACTGACTCGTGGGGGGAACGCAGGTACAACTACAACATCAACAGTTATCAGCTTACAAACCTTCTGTTCTTGGCGAGGTCCATGTGCATCAGCTTGGGCTCCAAGGACAACCCTATCAAGCTCAAGCGACGGGGGAAAGGGAACTGCTACATGGGCGACATAAGCGTGCAGAACCAAGATGTCGACTCAAAGGCGGAGCCACAGACCAGGGAGTCGGCGTCGGCGCGGCTGGAGCTGATGAGAGCCTTTGTTGGCTGCTACTACCTCAACACGCTGTGAGCACCCCCTCCCTATGCGAGAAACCGGACAGATGCAACTTGAGACTGACAATCCGAACAGCGTCTTCACAACGAACAAGCGGCCGGACGCGTTTATGAACTCGGCCCATCTCGAGTCGTGCTGCCGGCAGATCGAAGAAGCTGGGGAGTACCCCACTGACCAGCTCCTGGTGCAGCTGTTCAAGATCCAGCAGCTCACTCAGGCCATCTCCCTTACGCTGGGGGCTGAGAGCAAGAGTTTCCAGTCGCAGCAGCTGCCGCTGACCATGGCCGTCCAATCGTTCCAGCAGCAGCTCGACATCTTCAAGTCGTCGCTCCCGGCGCATCTCAAAGACAACCGTAAGCTCAAGCGCGCAACACAGCTCCCCATGCCAGAGAGAGAGAGAGAGAGAGAGAGAGAGGGGGGGGGGGGAGGAATAGATAGATAGAGAGAAAGAGTATTGCTAACAGCACCTTCCCTGCCCGTCAGTTGTTCTCCTCACGCACGTCAGCATCGCTGAGATCCTCCTCTACGAGATCGGCATACCCGAGTGCCAGGGTTCGGCGTCCTTCATCTCGCTGACGGAACGCCTCGAGCTCCTCTGGCGCTGCTGCGGCGCCGCAAAGACGTTCCTCGACCTTCGCTTCCCGCGCAACAACCTGAGCGTCCAGCCGCTCGTCATATGTCTCAGCGCCTCCGATTTCATCTACGTCTTCATTTTGTGCCTGAAGCTCATGACTCTCGAGGTGCCCGGATGGGATCTGCAGCTGATCAAGAAGCACTTGGACCTCGCGGGGGTAGTAGATGGCTACGTCGCACTTCTCGACATTTATGTGGCGCACCGAAACAAGCGACCCGCAGGTGCCGTAGGGACGGACCCGGCCGTGTTGTCGACGGACGTCCCCGGCCAGAACGTCGTCGACCCGTTCATCCGGCTGACATGCATGCTGCGGTACTTCAAGGAGCTGATCCGGGGCGAGCTGAGCGGGTCCCGGTCGCAGCTCACCACCCAGGGCCCAATGCAGCTGCCGGCAAGCCTGTCTGACAGCACGCAGGCCATGATCTGGGACCTGGACGCTGACTTTTGGAGCGGGATGCCGGACGACGAGCTCGGAAAGTGGGACGTCGGGGCCGTGTTTCCTGCCATGGACTGGACTGCCACCTGAGGAGACCGCTCTCGAGCCCGCGCTGCCAGGACGGGTATAAAGAGCAGGCAAATTGTATCAACACCGAGCCGGGGGGGAAGGGGATGGAATGACACAAATACGAATATTACGACTGAATGATACGAAGGAGGACGGGCCTCTGCTCTCGAACGAACGACCAATCTCTTCTCTGATTTCGCACGAGCCTACAAGAATGGGAAACCGAGCTTGAAAAGTCGGGCACGGCGTGTATAAAATACTGCTTGGCGCAGAGGGGCGGCGAGTAGATGTCTGCCAAGTTAGGGTGGCATCGAGAACCAGGAGTTGTCCAGAAGAGGAAATTCCGATCGGAGGGGACTCGCAACGAGCACGGCCGGGATGCACCGGCAGGCCCGGCCGACTGCAAACACTTGTAATATCACAGCTCCGGGTGGGGTAAGGGTTTCTTTTTAGTTATTAGGGGACAACGGGTTAACTGTCGGAACCAGTTTCCGTAGTGAAAAGGGACAATAATATCGTATGTCTAATCGCACGCACGGGGCGAGCGCAGCTTATGAGGGGGAAACATGTCAATTTTGGAATGAACGTAGGAGTTGAGCCAGAATGTAGGATGAGTGTACGGATAATCCAGCCAGGTTTTGCTTCGCATGTATTGCACTTCAACGGGCCGGATCAGTTCGCTGCCAAAGTTTAAAAACACAAAAATAGTCGATGTCATCTCATCGTCAACCCCACCCGTGTGCGCAGCCCAGCCTGCGTCCCGCCGCCATCGGCGCCGCTCCTCGGCCGCGGATATCCGCACTTCACACGAGCAAAACGCGGCGCCGAAAATCGTCTCCCTCCCCCCGCCTTCCGCGATACAATATTCGCTCACTCGGATCGTCTCAAGGCTCAGTCAAACAAGCCAAAGGGGCTCGTACAGTAAGAACCCCGGCGTGTTGGTTTAACGCACCCTCGAAAAAAGAAAAGAAAAAAAGACAAAAGGCCGGCCGCCTGCCTCCTCCACCATGCCTCAGCCCACGGTGGACTACTCCCTCTACCTGGTCACGGACTCGACGCCCGCGATCCTCGGCGACCGCGACCTCGCCTCCGTCGTCGCGGCCGCCGTCCGGGGCGGCGTCACCGTCGTGCAGTACCGCGACAAGACGAGCGACACGGGCGCCCTCGTCGCCAACGCCAGGCGGCTGCACGCCGTCACCCGCGCCGCCGGCGTGCCGCTGCTCATCAACGACCGCGTCGACGTCGCCCTCGCCGTCGGCTGCGAGGGCGTGCACATTGGGCAGGATGACATGGGTGAGTGGATTGTATTTTTTTTCTTTCTTTCTATTCTTTTTTCTTTTCTTCTTTCGGGATCACGATGGTATTTGGTTTTACGCTTCCGTCTACGTTTTCAATGATGCATCGCCGTGGGGAAGAGAAAAAAAAAAGAGAGAGAACAAAACTAAAAAAACAAGACCCATGAACTGACAAACTTCCCCGATCAGAACTCGCCACCGCGAGAAAGATCCTTGGCCCAGATGCCATCATCGGCGTCACGGCCAGCACCGTCGAGGAGGCCCTCAAGGCCTGCGAGGACGGCGCAGACTACCTGGGCATCGGCACCGTCTTTGCGACATCCACGTACGTTGCATCCCCTGCCCACTCCTCGCTCGGCCCACTGACAGCCCAGCAGCAAGGAGAACACAAAACACATCATCGGCACGGCGGGCCTCCGCCGGATCCTCGCCGAGCTCGCCTCCGCCGGCCACATCCCCCGCGTCAAGACCGTCTGCATCGGCGGCCTCAAGCCCTCCAACATCCAGCGCGTGCTCTACCAGTCCGCCCCCTCGCCGCCTTCGGGCCCCTCGCTCGACGGCGTCGCCCTCGTCAGCGCCATCGTCGCCGCGACCGACCCGGAGTCCGAGTCCCGTCGCCTGCTGGAGCTCGTCAGAACCAGCTCCTCGTACCGGCAGATCGTCTCCTCCTCTTCCGGCGGCGGCCCCTCGGCGGACGTCGGCTCGCTCCTCGACCGCGTCCCGGATGTGATCAGCGCCGTCGCCTCGGCCTCCCCGCTCTCCCACAACATGACCAACCTCGTGGTCCAGAACTTCGCCGCCAACGTCGCCCTCGCCGTCGGCGCGTCCCCGATCATGGCCAACTACGGCGAGGAGGCCGCCGACCTCGCCCGCCTCGGCGGCAGCCTCGTCGTCAACATGGGCACCGTCACGCCCGAGGGCATCGCCAACTACCTCCAGGCGCTGTCCGCCTACAACGCCGCCGGCCGCCCCGTCGTCTTCGACCCCGTCGGCGCGGGCGCCACGTCCGTCCGCCGGGCCGCCGTCCAGACCATCCTCGCCGGCGGGTACCTGGACCTCATCAAGGGCAACGAGGGCGAGGTCGCGACCGTTCACGGGCAGGCGGCGGCGCCGGAGCAGCAGCAGAAGGGCGTCGACTCGAGCTCGACGCTCTCGCACGCGCAGAAGGCGCGGATCGTGCGGGACCTTGCGCGGAGGGAGAGAAACGTCGTGCTGATGACGGGCGCGACCGACTACGTGTCGGACGGCGGGCGGACGTTCGCCGTGGAGAACGGTCACGAGCTGCTGGGCCAGATCACCGGGACGGGCTGCGTCCTGGGCACGACGGTGTCGGCGGCGCTGGCGGCCTGGGAGGACGACCGCCTGCTCGCCGTCCTCGCGGGCCTGCTGCATTTCGAGATCGCGGCCGAGCGGGCCGCCGTCAGGGGCGACGTCCAGGGCCCCGGGACGTTTGTGCCGGCCTTCATCGACGAGCTGGCGCGGATACGGAGGCAGACCGTCGACGGGGACTTGGCCTGGCTTTCAGGGGCCAAGGTGAAGGCCGTCCATGTCGAATGAAACGGTTTCCTCATGTCATGCTCCATACAGGATATAGAGTGCGTCAAACCAAGAAAAGGAGAAAAAAAAAGAAGACAAAAAAAAAAAAAAAAGGAAAAGAAAGAAAAGTATAAAGGATCCCGCTTATAGAGTAATAACTAGGTTCAAAACTTTTCATTTTCGCATGTTCTAAAGAGATCCATTGCCTGCCGAGTCCAAACCCGCCGCAGAACCTCCCCCCCCCTCTAGATCTTGGGCGTCAGGACCTGCAGAGCCTCCTTGGTATCCTTGCTCGTATCCTTGACCAGCCCGACGATGCTCTTGAACTCGGGCCGCGCGGCGTCGCCCATCATCTCGTAGATGACGCTCTCGCTCGTCGTGACCGTGACGCCCTCGTGCCGCAGCCGCGCCAGCGCGATCGGCACCTCCTCGCGGTTGCAGCTGCTCACCCCGTCGGCGAGGACGTACACCCTGTGGCCCGCCGCCAGCAGGTCCAGCGCCGTCTGCGTCACGCAAATGTGCGACTCGATCCCCACGACCAGGAACTCGTGCATGCCCTTGCCGTTGAACTGCGCCGCGATCTCGGGCACCCACATGCTGAACCTGGTCTTGTCGACGGGCGCGCGGACGAGGTCTGACTCCCGGAGGAGCGGCGCCAGCTCGGATACGGTGTCGCCGAGCCGCGCGCGGTTCTGCGTCGTCGTGTAGACGGGGATCTTGAGGGTCTCGGCGGCGCGGAGGAGCTTGGAGGTCGTCTTGACCACCTTGTCGAACTCGAAGATGGCATTGCGGAACTTATCTTGGAGATCACAGACGCTGTGGTGGTCTCGGATCAGTCCCATGTGTACGCTTTTTTATTCTTCCCCTTCTTTTGATTTGTTTAACAAAAAAACAGAGGGGTGTTGCCCGTCGCCAACGTACAAAATGACCGGCCTTTGCAGCCGGCGAGGAGTAGTATCGGACATGGATGCGGTTGCGAGGGAGCGGCGTCGTAGAAGAAGCCGGTGCGGTCGCGGCTGGGTTATTTGGGCGCACTGGACGGGGATGCGGAGGTTTCGCGCAATAGGCATATCCCATATGTTCGAATCGAACCAAAACCAATCAACATCAACCAAGTCTATTCTCAAGATAAATCTTCGGTTGAGACGGTGGCAATAGTCGACTTTGATCAATCGTACTACCTACTGCGGGGGAACGCAGCGCGGGGTGCGACTAATAAGTGGGGGTGCCTAATCCCGGCCCCGGCCACCAACCTTACTTACCTACCTAGTCCTGGGTTTGCAGCGTGCGTGTAGGTACCTATCTTTGCAGTGTACTCCGTACAAGCAGGTAGGTATGTAGAGACGGTTGCTGGCGTGGCTGGTTGGCCAAAGGCCACATGTAGCCATCAACCCCCCCCCCTACGTTCGTCCCACAGATGCGGGCAACTGATTTTCGATGCAGCCCACATTGCAGACTGCTCTGCGGCGCCACCGTCAAGCGCTGCCGATCAACTAGCATGTATGCAATCTGATAAACACTAAAGATAATCATCAATATGTGAGATGATTGGTTTTTTTATGGGGGGATTTTTTCATGTTTTTTTTTATTTATTTAATTGTGTATCCGTCATGCGGACTTTTCTAGCCGTCGTGCTATGGAACTCATCCTGTCCTGGTACACTGAATGGCTACCAGTCGGCCCGTCTCGCGCAGTACTGAAGCCATCCCACCTCTTCATGTTAGGGGAGGGGGGGTCGTTTGGTCAAAGCAAAGAAAAAGAAGATTAGTGCTCTTGGTCATGTTTGACCACCTTTACGTCAAGTGCCGCCGGGGGCCTATCCTTTTTCTTTTCTCTCCTGCATAAGCAGCCCTACTCGGCCGTTGCCGTTGGCTTCGCTTTTCCTGCCGGGTTCATCCACGAGAATGCGGATGCGCCTCCGATGGGGTTCACCGACCGCGGCAGAGGCGGGCCCGCGTTCTTCGTTTCACGTTGAGCCTTGGCTTCTGTCGTGCTGCTGACGCTGCTGACTGACCTCTTGGGCTCCCAGCGAACCGTTGCTGGGGGCGTGCTCTCTGCCGCTACGCTAGCCTGGCTCTTTCGCCGATGTTCGCCGCTGGTCCTCGGCGCTGGTGGCGGCTCATAAGCCGCCCCGGTTCGGGCAGAGGATGATGAGCCCGATTTCAGGGGCTTCAACACCTTCATATTCCGACTTGAGCGGCCCGCAGGCTGGTACCCGCTCAAGGGACCGTTGGCGTCTCGTTGCCCGTTCTCACTCCCGCTTGCCGAAGTTCCCTGCCGCCATGACCTCCAGATGCCTCCAGCAGACTCACGCCGGCTGCCATCTGTGCTGGCTGAGCTATTCTGCACAACTGAAGGTTCTCGGGCCCCGGACTCGGACCCGCTGGCGTGATCTTTGCCTGTCCTCTCACTCTCCCCGCCACTTTCAGACAGGTTGCTTGCTCCAACCGACTTGTCGGGTACAGAGTCATGTCCCAGTGGGGACAACGGACCCTGAGACTCGGCATCCTCAGGCTGCACGCCCGAGACGCTGTTCTCTAATGTGTCGTGCGTTGTGGAGGCCTGCGGCCGCGGGTCTCCGGAAACAAATGGGGCGGCGTTGGCGTTGAGCCGAGGTTTCTCTGGGATGAGGTTGGTTGTGCTGATGTGCTTGAACGCACCTTCATCCTCGGGGCGCACGAAAGGTACCGACAGTTTTTCGCGCTCGCTGCCGTACAGACTCATGCGGTTTTGGGAAAGGAGAATGTCGGCCTGATGAGCTCGGAGGGTGTCGCTGCCGATGAAGATCTGGATGCCCCGCTTTGGCTCAGCTCCTTCGGCCTGTTCCATGCCAGACACCTCAAACGTGGTCAGGAGGCTTGGCATCTGGTGGCCCGGACTCGAAGACCGGCTGCTCCGTTCGGAGACGGTCGCTTCAACTAGGTAGACCGAGAGCCGGATTTTGTAAGTGCCGTCAACATCGCGTTGAATCTCATCCAACATGCCAAGGTCCTTGATGACAGAATAGTCCACCACAGACTTCTGAGAGCCCGTGCATAGGTCAGCGTACAGAACGGTATCGTGCGCAAAGTTGGTCGTGAGCCAGCATCGGATAATGGTCGGTACGGATCCCAAGAAAAAGAGGCCTGGCGGCGGCTCTGGCATGTCGACAGGAGAGTCGCCCTCGTGGCTGCTGACCATGAAATTGGTATCCAGCCCCAAGCTGCTCGCTCGGCCAGATGCCACAGAATGAAAGGAGTGGACAGAATGGCCAGCTGAACTGTGTCGTCCGTCCGATTTGTGGGACAGAGACCTCTCCATCATCAAGCCACTGCTCGGACGCGGAGGTCCAAATTCACCAGAGTGGCGGTTGCTTTGGCTTGACCAGTCTGCTCCCCGCAACGCACTTTCGTCGAATCGTACACTGTTCGCTCGAGAAGCAGCACCGCGGCGGGTAGGCTCCTCCTCGGCCGGCCCAAGATGGAGCGAGCTCAGCAAATGCTGGCCTTGCTCATCGAAATCATCAAACATGTCGTTGGGTGATACATGAATCGGCCCTGATGCACAGACTGTCAACAACGTCGGGATGCGACATGGACACACGTAGAGGCCCTACCTTGCTGGGGAGTTCCGGCTAAAACGCCAGGAAATGGATGCTGCTGCCATACAGACTTGAGGCTGGCATCCTGTTCCTGACGCCTTTCAAGCCTCAGCAGTCTCTCGCCCTGATTACTCTGAACCAGTTGGATTTGCTTCAAATCCATCTGGATGTTGAAGAGGTCGTCGCGGGTGATTGGGAACCGATGATCCATGCCCGGAAGTGGTCCCGATCAACTGTGTGCGGTATCTTGAGGTTGAGAAACTCGGGAAAATATACCAGGTATGCGGTGGCTGGCAGGCGGAAGAAAGACGATAGCAAGCGAGTGTATTGGGACCAGATCGTGATTGGGCGGAAGCGCTGGAGAGGGTATCGGCAAAACAGGTCGTAGTAAAGGGTCGTTCGAGTAAGAGAGACACGCCTAGATAAAAAGGGGGGTTCGAGTGTAAGCGCGTTCGAATGACGGGCCGAGGAAGGCTATGGGCGCTTCCGACCTCGATCCCTACGATATCAGTTCACGAGGTCCTCCTCCCCCGCCACATCGCACGGTAAGACCAAGTTGGTCGTCGACGACAGCGGCAGCAGGCGCAATCTTGGTATGTTATCCTTTGACAAGTGGCTCTTTTCACAGGGTCCAGTCGATCTCAGCGACTGCGGCAGCTTGAGAGTGGCGATGGCACTATGCTGGTTTTGCACGATGGTCAGTGGAGGCGGAATTGCCCCGGGTAAGGTGGCTTTGGGAGATCGTGGGGCAGGATTTCGATGCCCAGGCGCAATCAAATGTCGAGGTTATCAAGCACAATGTTATCCTTGAACAGTTGTGCAGCTGGAAGCAGGGTGCGAAGGAAGGCTTCGTTTTCTGGGGGATTGGGGATTGAAGCGGGTGTTGTCGTCACTTGGGAGGGCGAGAGGAGCGGCCGAGGTAGATGTGGTTCAGCGCCGACAGAGGGCTCGCGGTTAAGAGTAGGATGGGATGTAGCAGAAGTAGCGTCGAAAGGAGGACGGTCCGAAGAAGGTAAATGCTTGTCAAGCACACTGTCGGACGTTTCGTGGTAAGGAGTCGAAGAGGTGAGGGGTTGGAGGAGACAAACAAAAGTCCTGAGGTCGGTTCAGACAAGCACGTTGAATTAGTGAAGTAAACGGGAGGTGGACAGAAACAAGGACTTGGCTCGAAGGAGGTGAGGTGAACGGGCAGCGACGGGAGTGGAGGATGGGGCCGGGCCAACGCGAGGTGGTCCCAGAGGTTCGGCGTGTGGCTGGCTGGATGTATGTAGCCTGGATGTAGTTGATTCCAGACGTTACTCGAGAGGCTGCAACTTGTAGGGCGAAAGACATGCTCCTGTTGACTTGGTGCAGGGTAACTCCAGGTACTCGAGCAAGGAGGTAATGAGGGTCCAGTACATCTCGGGTTCATACAATGCGTTAGACCCGGGACTTTGGCAGTACTCGCGCGGTACCTCGGCGGGGCAGCAGTCCGCTGCTCTGAGTACCTGCCTACCCACCTTACATAAGGTAGGTACCTGGGTGCTTTTCACTGGAATTGCCCCTGTGCAATGCTGTGCAGGTGCAGCAGCGCAGCGCAATGAACGCCAAGTCGTGGCCCTCCACCAAATGGAACTTGCAGCGGGGGCCACCAGTTGTTTGCCGCCGGCGTAGGTTGTGTGACGTGGTGAGGGCACGATTGGAAGAGGAGGGCTTAGGGGACGTGCTGAAGACTTCCAGGCGTCACCCGTCCACTCAGGCACGCGCACCTACCTACTTGCCTTCTGTCTTTGTTGCTGGCTCCTCTTCCGCAGAGAGTGGCTTCCACCAGGGACCTGCTCGCCTCCTGCAGACACCCAAACTCTAAAGCAGCTGAGTTGTCGGTGCCGATGCGATCAAAACCTGTCCCCCACTGCATGACAATCAAGTAAGGTCCGCGAGTTGCTATACTTGTACTTGAGAGGGTGGGTGTGCGTGTCCTTGTCAGGAAGGTAGGATGTGCAGAGGGAACAAGCCAGATCCTAGAGCAAACAGTACCCGTAGGCTGCTGAAGGGCATCGTTCGTTATTTTACGGCGTGGACGGATCCAATGGCGAGCTGAGGAATGCCATGCTGACGAGAGAAACAGAAGCTTGGCGGGCTCGAGACATGTCTCACAAGCCAACATGTCTTGCTGTGGCTCAGGGCCAGTAGTAGACGCACAAAGATAGGCCAAGCTACGACGGGGACAGAGTAGATGGTGACGGAACTTCCACGTGCTTGGTAGAGCAGAAGCGCCGGTATGTCTTTCGATGTCTGGAACCACGCACATTCTAAAAACCGCCTTGATTTCACATGCTCCTGCAGGGCACATGCAACATTGCATGGACCCTCTCCATCAGCTTTCCCCTTCTGTCAGAGTGCCCTCAGTCATGTCTACGCTGGAGGGTTCACCTCACGCCAGTCCGGGAAGACGGAAGGGCCCTTGCTCCAGTCGCCGAGGTGAACCGACAACGCCTCGTAAAACACCCTGTATGCTTCGCCGCTCATGTGGAGGCCGTCCGGGAGAAGATCTGCCAGCCCGCCCCGCTCGCCGAACTCCGGTGTGCCTGGCAGAGGACCTCCGGCCCGAAAGCCTGGCGTCCTGGATACAGCGTGGTCCATCAACGCCTGCCACAGGTCGACCAGCACCACGCCGGGCACCTCGGCCGCCACATTTCGTGCCGCCTGTGTGTATTCGGCGCTGGTCTTGGAGGTCCGCTGGGGCTTCGGGTGACCCGCGGCCAGGTCGAGCTCGGTGACGCGAATCTCGTCTATGGGCGGCGGCGTGACGAGGATAATCTTGGGGTTGTGACCTGTGATGTTGGGGTGCGTGACGATCTTGACAAGGTTCTTCTTGTAATCGCTCAGCGGGACGTGCTGCACCGTCGTTTTCATGGGGTGGACAGCATCGTTTGCGCCAAGGAGCACCACCTGGTCAAGACCTTAGCACAGTGACCCCGGGAGTGGTTCGCTACACTCACGAGACATTCCAACTTTGGCCCAGACTCGGAAGGAGGGAGGAACATATCGGCGAGATATCTGACAGCATTCGCTGTGTTCCAGCCAGAGAAGCCGCGGTTGACTACATCGAAGCGGCGCATCGCATCTGAGAGGCGGCCTATAAGCTCGAGGATGCAACGCAAACCAGAGACGACTCACGGCATTGGAGCTCTGCTTGAAACGAGAAGCCATCGGATGCCTCGCAACAGCCCTGGATGAGGGAGTCTCCGAGGAGCACGATTTGGGGGTATGGTTTCTGCAATCATGGTAAGTCGCCCTGGTTCATTCATTGAATTCCAGAACCGTAACCTACCGCCATGGGGGTAAAGCGTTACTGAAGCGGAGGTGGATCGGAAAGGAACAATGTGAGAAGCAACCAGGCTGTGGAAGTGTGTCTTCTGAGCAAATTGGTTGGTGAGTCCGACTCGGGACTAAATAGTGTCTTACTACTTACTACACGAGCCTCTGCAGGCAACCCGCTGGAACTCCCGATCACACAACCCCCACGGAACGGCTAAAGTACAATACCGCTCTTACTGGATTGTTCACACGGAGTGCCTGCGGTTACGGGTCTATCAACCATACAAAACGGCTCCTAACTTGGAAAACAAGCAAATAAGTTGGGCTCCACTGAAATGATTAACGACACTAAAGCCTCTCGACCTCTGGAATCACTTATTTACTTATTTACTGACAATGAAACATGAGCGATCCTGATTCCCGAACTCGCAATGATGAACTAGTATTGCGAATACTCATATTATGTATCTAGGAAGGAAATGTATAAATTAAAATAAACCTAGCCGACTCAGCTTAACAAGCTCGAAGCAACTATATGGAATCTCGAGCTTTCAAAGACTTGAGCTGGTGCGCAATGGTAGAGAAGGAGGGGACGGACGGTGGGGTCAATGCCACTCTACCCACTCCCTTATCAATAAATGAAATGATTCGCTAACCGGCTTATCAGCAACAAAAAAATAGTCGGCGTAACTAATACCCGCCCAGAAAAAAAAAATCGAGAAATCCCAGGTACACACACGCTCTGGGGAAAATCCCAGTCTCGTAGGACTCCCCGCCATTGAGTTATTCAATCACCGCGGAATGCCGCAAAACTTCTAAGATATGGTGTCCTCTCTTGCTGCGCAGTTAGCGCAGATCGCCGCCAACTCGAAGGCTTCCTTGGATGTCAAGGCGCAAAAGGCCGCCCATTCCAAGTCCTTAATCTTCGAGCCGCGAGTTGCTGCGACCCAGAGCTACCAGACTCTTTACACGATATGCTCCGAGGGCTTCGAGGAGCTTTGCGAGCTCGATGGCCGCTTCAAACCCTTCTCCAAGACGCTCTTCAGCGAGCAGAGCATGAGCGAAGACCGAACCCAGATGACTGCTGCTGAAAATGCCGAATTGGACAATAAAGTCGAGTCCTTCCTCCGCCTTGTCGGCAGCCGGTTGAGGCTCATGCCTTCGATCCGGGCCCTCGAGTGGCTCGTTAGGAGATTCAGGTATGCCGTTGCGGTCCATGCCGTGTCGCCGTTTCTCTAACCGGGTGACAGAATTCACGAGCATAACACCAAGTCCCTCATCACAACCTTCCTCCCGTATCACTCGATCCCTGCATTCGTCACCTTGCTCTCGATCCTCCCGCCCAAGATCCCTCACGAGTACCGATTCTTGAGCCCCTACATCAAGTCGCTCACCTCCCCCCCGCGATCCGTCTTGGTCCACGAAGCGATCCACAAGGCCGACTTCCTCAGCACCCTGTCCGAATACACGCTTGAGGCATGCAGGCACCAGCAACAATACCCAACTTTGGTCTCGTTCTGGGGTGGCGTAATGACGGAGGCTGTAAACGGGCTTCTCGAGAACATGCGATCCGGCCGCGCCGCTGTTCAGCAGGACAACAACGAAGCCTTCTTGCACCGCGTCGGGCCTACGCTAGCCGAGGCAATGTCGATGAAGAAAGTCCCCAACATGCAGATTGCCTCCTACATGGCTGTCACTGTCGTTGCGGCCAAGGGCAGCTTTGACGATGCGACTCTCTCGGCCTTCATGGAGCAGATCGTTCACGGCTGGACCAGCGAGACTGTTCGCCCTGGGCTCGTCTGCTTGTGCATTCTGGCGCAGTACCGGTCGGCGAAACAGCTTTCCGGAAAGGTCACCAAGGCCTTGCTGAAAGTCCAGAACCTTGGCGAGATTCTCGTCGAACTGGGCCAGGAGAGGAGAGTTGACAAGCTCACCAACGGACTCTGCATTGCCTTTATCGAACGCTTGTGCAAGAAGGGCGACGCTCGCGGTCTGCCCATCATCCGCGCCATCTTGATGAGCAAGATCTTGAAGGAGAAGCAGATTGCTGTCATTTTCAAGTCTCTGGTGCTGGCTGCACACAGACTCGACGACAACGTTGACAAGGACGGTGAAATTCGCAAGGAGCTTGGCTCAACATTGATCGATCTTTCTCGCTTCTCCGGGGAGACTAGTGAGATCATCCGGACGGTCCTAGAAGAGGTCGATTTCGATGTCGAGGAGCTGGAAATGAAGCTCGACGTTTCCATTCGCCAGAGAAAGGCCTTGCCAGGCAGTCAGGAGGACGTCGAGATGGACGAGCCCAAGTCCGCACCCGCAAAGGAGGACTTGCGAGAGACCATCCAGGAGTTGTCGGGCCAGAAGCGCGCTCTCCCCTCCTGCCTTTCTACTAGCACTGGGGAGGTCTACGACGAGTTCAGCCGACTTTTCCTCCGCGTTGTCTCCCAGCAATCCGAGGACCCGACTCTGCTTGCTGATTTCGACCAGCTGCCGTCCCTCAGCCGACAGACGGCAGTCAGCGATCACACCTACATCACCTTCTTCGTTCGCATCTGGTCAGGTCCTTACCCGACTCTCGCCCGCGCGGCCGCTGTGGACGCGGTCAGAAGACGTCTCAGTGATGGCGACGGCAACGACCTCGATTTCCAAGCTCTCATCCCCTACTGCCTCGTCGCTCTGGTCGATTCTTCCAAGAAGGTCCGCCGTGCAGCTGCCGAGCTCCTGATCCAGATCGGCCATTTCTTCCCCCATCAGTCCAAGGCTGCGAAGAATTCTGTCTGGGGCGGTAAGAAGCTATACGACGACAGCTCCAAGGTGCAATGGCTGGACGCCGATGTTGTTTCCCGCCTTCTTCACGGCGTCATCCTTCCGGCCCTTGAGGAATGTATCATGCACGAAGACTACATTCGCGCGGTGCTGCACTCGACGCTCGATAGTAGCGCGAAGAACGAAGGCAGCGACGGGAAGAAGGCACTCAGCTCATCGGGTAGAGCATCGATCCTATCATTCCTTGCCAGTCACGTTGTTGCGACACCGCTGCTCAGGGTCAAGTCCAATCTTCTCTCAATCCTTAACCGCATCAGAGGAGTGTCGTCTACTTCAAGGACGAAGGTGCTGCTGCCGGCGTTCCAGTGGTGGGCTTCCTTGTCTTCCGAAGAGACGACCCGTCTTTCCGAGGCCGAGGAGGTGGACCAGGCTGTGCTCCACACCAGATTCGCCGAGATTGTTGTGCCGAACGACAGCGAGGGTCTGGATTGCCTCCTCTCCATCGTCAAGGACCCTGCTTCTGCTAAGCGCCCGGAGCTGGTCCGATCAATCTCTGCCCGCATCCGATCCATCTGGAGTTCGATGAAGGCCGACACCAAGTTCGACGTCGCTCAGACAATGCTGGAGCTCTCTCAAGCGCGACACGCATCCCAGGACGAGGAGGACATCATTGCTGATGAGGCTGCCGATTTCCTGAGGAACGTCGAGCTCACCACGGACATCCTTTCCTACTTCCTCGAGTCCATTCAGACGGGCACGAAGATCATCACCGAGCCTCCGGCGAACAAGCGACGCAGGACCAGCTCATCTGAGGCCAACCGCGTAGTCACTGCGCAAGCCAGTGCCGAGCTCAGTGCGACGTTGAGATCAGTCACCTTTGTGCTCCAGCTCGTGGATGGCTCCAACCCTGCTTCCCACCCCGAGCTCCTTGACAGTCTCTTCGGCACCCTCTCCGAGCTCCAGCATTTCCGCACCGTCATCGGATCCGAACTCGGCTACCTGCAAAACCTGGTGCTCACGAGCTTGATCGCGATGGTGCCCGCTTACAGAAACAACAAGAGCCTGAAGATTGACGGCTCAGGGGGCCACGGCGACCTGCTTGTCAACTGCATCCAGAAGTCTTCCAGCCCGATCGTGCAAAACTCGGCCTTGCTTCTGATTGCCAGCCTTGCCACTGCTGCCCCTGATCTAGTGCTCCATAGTGTGATGCCCATTTTCACCTTCATGGGCGCCTCCGTCCTCCGCCAGAATGACGATCACTCTGCTCATGTGGTTAACCAGACCATCAAGGAGGTCGTTCCGCCTCTGATGGCGTCCCTTAAGAAGGGCAAGCGGAACCCGGTCGCTGGCGCCGCTGAGCTGCTCGCAAGCTTCGTTACTGCGTACGAGCACATCCCTGCGCACCGCAAGCAAGGCTTGTTCGTTGCTCTCATCAACACCCTTGGCCCCGATGAATTCTTGTACGCCTTGCTGGCGATGCTGGTCGATAGATATGGTCCTAACGACAGCCTGATGGCGTTTGCGTCTGAACTCCTGGGCGTCTACAGCGCCGAGGTGCAGCTCCAGACCTTAGCTAAGCTCCTGGACTTGATCAGTGACATCTTCAAGCCCAAACCCGGTTTGTCGGCTACCCTGCTGGGCGTCGGAGAGGACTTGGCGGAGAAGAAGCCCGAGACCAGTGCCCTTCAGCAGCTGACCGTCTTCCCGGCTCTCCTTTCCAGCAGAAAGCTCCGAAAGGAGATCACCGTGCTCACGGAGAGGGACGACATGGATTCTTCCAAGATTCGGGACTTGTACGCCATTCTCCTCAGGGATGTCTTGGCCCTGGCTGAGACCGTCAAGCAGCAAAAGGCGTTGCACGAATGCTGCGGTAATGCCCTGGCTAACCTGCTAAACCTCCTGTCCATTGGCGAGTTCATCAAGTCGGTCGAGAATCTCCTAGACCGTACCGAAATCGACCTCCGCCGCAAGGTCCTCCGGGCCCTTGAGGTCCGCGTGGACCAAGAGAGCGTCGCAGACGTCGCTTCCAGGACGGCATTGCTCGCTTTCCTGCCGCAACTCACCGCCGCGATCAGGGACACCGACGACATCAAATACAAGCACATCGCCGTTGCCTGCGTGGACAAGATTGCGGAGAAGTACGGCAAGAAGGATATCGAGGCCGTGGCAGGCGCTGCGGCGACCATTGCCGGACCTCACTGCCTCGGCCAGCCCGATGCCCGCCTGCGCGTCATGGCCCTGCTCTGCCTTGCCTCTCTTGTTGATGTTCTGCAAGACGGAATCCTGCCTATTGTCAACATTGCCATTTCCCAGGCCATTCTCTACATTGAGCAGTGTGTGAAGGACAAGACGACAGCAAACGAACTGCACAACGCCGGCTACGCGTTCATCACCGCCCTGGCACAGCACCTACCTTACATGATCTCTGCGAAGCACCTGGACAACATCCTCCTTGCCTCCAACAAGTCGGCTGAGGCTGATTTGGATAGCGAAGCCGACGATGAGCGCCTCAACTGCCTGAGGTTCCTCGCCAGAAAGGTCGAGGCCAAAACCATGCTGGGCAGCTTGGAGAAGAACTGGATCCCGGCCACCGAGGCAGGTTTCAATGTAAGTTGCTCGGAAGATGATCGGAATTACAACAAGACTAACAGAGCTACAGGCAACTGAGGAATGGGTTGACGTCTTTGGCGTCGTCGTCGAGAGCCACACCAAGTCCATTGTCACAAAGAACGTCACATCCTTGTCCGCGATTCTCCTCAACTCGTTGGACCTCCGAAGACGCGAGAACACAAAGGACAAGCTCACCAACGCAGCATCTCAGCGCGTGGCCAAGATCGAGGCATCCATCAACGACGTTGCCCTCAAGATGATTTACAAGCTGAACGATGCGGCTTTCAGGCCTATCTTCACTCAGATTGTCGAGTGGTCTACGCAGCTCCCCAAACAAGATGTTACGGGGCGCGCACTGCGTCGTTTTAGTGTCTACGGATTCTTGCACGTATTCTTCGAGAGCCTGAAGTCGATCGTCACAAACTACGCGACTTACATTGTGGACGACGCCGTCGACATCATCAAAGCATGCGACGTTAAGCTGCCGGAGCAGAAGGATCTGTGGCAGCGTGTCCTCTCCACTCTGGCGAGGTGCTTTGAGCACGACCAGGACGACTTCTGGCAGGCGCCCGCGCACTTCAGCAAGGTTGCACCCGTTCTCACTGCGCAGTTCCTCAACGCCGATTCTGTGGATCTGTCGGCTGAGTTGATCCCCGCGGTTGTGGAGTTGGCGTCTGCGGCCGACTCCCAGGAGCACCAGAAGGAGCTCAACAGCGCCATCCTCCGCCACCTGCGGTCTGAGCAGGCAGCCGTCCGTCTGGCAGCCGTCAAGTGTCAGCAGGAGCTCGCCGAGAAGCTTGGCGAGGAGTGGCTGTCGGCGCTGCCCGAAATGCTGCCCTACATCAGCGAGCTCCAGGACGACGACGATGAGGTTGTCGAGCGGGAGACGCATCGGTGGATCGTTAAGATCGAAGGGGTCCTTGGCGAAAGCTTGGACTCCATGTTGCAATAGTGAATCCGAATGTGTGGGAGAAAGAGGAAGGATGGAGCCGAGGGCCGTGAGGCTGAAAGGCTATTGGACGAAGAGTGGTCAATTTGTGTATTAGGTACCAAAAGTAATCAATTTTGAGACGTCATTTGAACATCGAAAAGCGGAAATGCCATCCCGTAGTGTCCGGACGGGGAAAAGTGGAGACGGAGACGTCACTTGTCCGTAGGGCCCGGCCACTTGCGTCTCGGCTTCGGTAACGCAGAGCTAAGAAATTTGCGTGTATTTAGGTTCAAGCAAGAGCGAATTGCTTTAATATACTTGCAAAGTTCCTAACGTACTTCAGAACCCTTCTCTCTCGTGCAGGATTTAAAGTCGGCGAGGTTACACAGCAACCGCCTACTCCGACCCGTACCCAGTAAGCAAGCTCTTTGAGAAGCGCATAGACTTCCGGTCTATTATCGCGCCCGCTTACAAACGCCTAGACAAAATACCGGGGCTTGACGCACCGCCTCGTACAGCTAGGGCCCGTCCAGGGGTTGAATTTGCGGACATCCCATATATATGACATATGCTCACTGCTGCCCCGTCGTAGTGCGTGTGGTGGTGTGATTCAGTTACCAACATGGCATCATCGAAAGTCGCACGGCAATATTGGAGAAGCCTCGCCCGGCCTGAACACCGGAGTCCCGCCGGGACGGCATTGCGGACCGGGGCGACGACTAACACGAGTGTTGTGAACTATCGCAACAGCACGAGCTCGAATTCGCCGACGGGTTAGTCTGACTCACTCAACTCAACAACACCCCCCTTCCTTCCCCCCAAAATCCCACCCGTACCACGAACAGTGACCAAGAGATGCCCAAGAAACCTGCTAACTCGCGTGTCAGAGCGAAAACGTGAAAGGGTCGTTGTGCTGGGCTCAGGATGGGCAGGCTATGCCTTTGCCCGCGAACTCGACCCCAAGAAATTCGAGCGCATCCTCATCTCGCCGCGCTCCTACTTCGTCTTCACCCCCTTGCTGGCCTCAACATCGGTCGGCACCCTAGAGTTCCGCTCCATCCTCGAGCCCGTCCGCTGGCTGAACCTGGACTCGTTCTACGAGGCCTGGGCGGACGACGTCGACTTCTCCAAGAAGCTCGTCCGCGTCGAGAAGGTTACGTCCCAGGACGCCACGTCCCGCACCCTCCCGGAGAGGCAGCTGCACCGGTCCAAGGGGGAGGTGATTGATGTGCCCTACGACAAGCTGGTCATCTCCGTCGGGGCGTACTCGCAGACCTTCGGCATCGAGGGTGTCAAGGAGTACGCCAACTTCCTGCGAGACATTGGCGATGCGAGGAGCATTCGTTTGAGGGTGCTCCAGTGTTTCGAGAAGGCCGACTGGCCCACGACCACGGATGAGCAGCGGAGGAAGATGTTACACTTTGCCGTCGTGGGAGGTGGCCCGACAGGAATCGAGGTCGGCAGTCGCCCCCCCCCCCCCCCAAGCTTCGACCCCGAATGGCACACTGACCTAATTCACAGTTCGCCGCCGAGCTCCACGACCTCATTCACGACGACCTGTCCAAGCTGTACCCGCACCTCATGGAGTTCGTCAGCATCACGATCTACGACATCGCGCCCAAGGTCCTGCCCATGTTCGAGCAGCAGCTCGCCTCCTATGCCGAGGACCTCTTCCGCCGCCAGGGCATCAAAGTGAAGACTCAGCACCACCTGCAGCGCATCCGGTCGGACGAGGACGACACTTACAACACTCTAAAGCTCAAGATCAAGGAGTACGGCGACGAGGAGGTCGGCGCGGGCCTCGTGGTGTGGAGCACGGGGCTGATGCAGAACCCGCTCATCCAGAAAATCCTGAAGAAGGAGCTGCGCAACCCCGCCTCGGCAGTTGAGGGGAAGAGAAGTGAGATTGTGAAAGTCCTGAAGGCGGAGAGGAGCGGCGGCATCATCACGGACTCCCACCTGAGGGTTCGCCTCGACGACCCGGATAACGAAAAGGCCGTCCTACCGGACGTGTATTCCCTGGGCGACTGCTCCGTCCTGGAAACCGGGACGCTTCCCGCCACGGCGCAGGTGGCAAGCCAGCAGGCCGTGTACCTCGCCAAGATGCTCAACAGGGCGGCGGACGACCGGGGGAGCAAGCCGTTCAAGTTCCGCAACCTGGGGACGATGGCTTACCTGGGAAGCTGGAGGGCGATCCACCAGAGTTCCGCGGACGAGCTGAAGGGCCGGGCAGGTATGTTTTCCTTTGGAGAAACGGTGCCCCTCGAGCTGTATGACCCTCTTGTGCTAATGCGCGAACAGCGTGGATTCTGTGGCGTTGCGCTTACCTGACCAAGTCGATGAGCATCCGGAACAAGATCCTGGTACCGTTCTACTGGTTCATCACCTGGGTTTTCGGGAGAGGCATTTCTCGATTCTGAGTGAGGTCCGTTTGGGGGTGGGGGTTCATCTGAGTATATGCTCCGACATCCCAAGACCTCTAACCCTCTCCGAAAACACTCGCCTCGGGAAGATGTAAGTTATGGGTTAGAAGCTGCGGTAGTAGCATAAAGTTAATTAGGGGGGGTTACATTTAGACCGGGTTTGTGATCTGCTTGTTGTTTTTAGCCATAGACCGGACGGTGGGGTAACTTAGGAGGTGCGAGAGAAAAACGGGAACGACCCAGAGTCTACTTATCTGTATGATATGAAAAGAAAAAAACCTCATTCCAATATAACTTGTCAAAAGTTGTGTAAGTTGATCTACCTCGGCATAAGTGACGCTTAGCAAATATGCCAGACTTATGGTCATTAGCAGCTGACGCTCACAAGTCATTCAAGCCTTGTCCTGCTAGCATACGAAGTAGGCCAACCTGAGTTGAAGAGATATTGACAAGGCGAAATAGGTCGAAGACGACCCAGACAACCTGTGTAATTCCACACTTGTTCACGGCTTCCTCAGTCGCTTTACGCTCCGGGAATTTCACTGGAGGGCCCTTCCTATAATCCCTCCAGCGTCCAACGCCAAGATCTTATATAGATGTATGTGCTGCCTTGTACAATACGCGGCTGATACATCCACCTTACGCTCTACTAACACCTCCCCCCCTTCAATTACCTACCTCGGTAGTTTGATTAGTTGAGGTATAGAACACCTGGTGGAGACTATATGGTCCTATGGGGGAGGGGCGCGGTGGGCGTTCCTTCCGTGATAACAACCTTACTGTCATCACCGAAACCTACCCCAGCCACCTACCCAGCTTCGAAGATGTCTATTTAATCCATTCCACCGTCCTCTCTGCCACCGGTCCGCGATGATGGCGTGTGTGGCCTAGTGGTTAAAGCTTTAACATAATACCCCCGAAACAAAACTCACCGGGCCTTGTTGGGGGCGCGCTGTTCGAACCACACTTAAGAACAGGGCGTAGAAAAAGATTTTTTTCTTCTTCTTCTTTTTGCTTGTATGGTCTCGATTAGGGGTATGAAAGTATGCAGCAAATCATCCCTCAACCATGTCAAATGAACACAACAGACGACACATACACCCGAGGAACCCCCCTAGCTGAGGACAGATAAAATGGCAAGCTCGTGTAATGGCGGCAAGTATAAATGATTTGTTCGTCATCCATGCTGTATAACGCTAACACGCTCTTGAGAACGCCCACCGGCGCAAGAAGGCAAAACAAAAAACAAAAAAAACACCTAGAACTGGGAGTATCCTGATTGAGGGGTGAAACGAGTGCCGTTGACTCCCTGGACACCCTGGCCAAGCTGGCTGGCAACGACGGTCGACTCGCGCACAGCACGCGCGATGGTGCCCCTCACGCGACCCTCCTCGAGCACCAACAAGCCCCCGATCGTACAGCCGCCGGGGGTGGTGCACTTGTCGCGCAGCAGGGCCGGGTGATCGCCGTTCTGGACCAAGCACGCGGCGCCCTTCATGCTCTGGGCAGCCATCCTCTGGGCCTCGACACGGGGGATGCCCATGGCCACGGCGCCGTCGATGGCGGCCTCGAGCATAAGGGCGAAGAAGGCCGGGCCGGAGCCGCACAGGGCGGTGCTAGCGTCCATGTTGTTGGCGGGCAGGTAGACGACGTCGCCGATGCGCCTGAAGATCCAGGTGACGAGGCTCGCGGTCTGGGGGGGCAGCGGGTACGTCGGGGCGCCGATGACGGTCATGCCCTCGCGAATGAGCGAGGCGGTGTTGGGCAGGGCGCGGATGACGCGGCATCGGCCGTCCTCCTCGGGGTTCTTGGTCGGCACGGCGCCGTGGAGGATCTCTTCCAGGTGAGTCTCTGTGAGGCCGGCACAGATGCTGATGAGCAGCTTGCCGTGAAGGGCGCGGGCCATGCCGGGCTCGCTGAGGAGCTCCTTGACCATGTAGGGCTTGCAGGCAAGGATGACGACCTCGGACTGGTAGACCGAGTTGACGTTGTCGTTCTGGACGACCTTGAGGATCGACGAGTGCTCCCAGAGCGCCTTCTTGACCTTTTTGGCGCTCTCCGAGCGGCGAACGCAGGCGATGAAGCGCGAGGGGAGGCGGGCGGGAACTTCATCATGCCGGGGCGTCGAGGTGCCTGACGCCGAGGGCGTATGGAGCATCTGGAGAGGCCTGGGAGCCTGCATCTCTACGAGGGAGGTGAGGATGCCGTTCAAGATGGCGATACCCATGGTTCCTGTTCAGAAGTTAGTATACCGGGCTTCGTTCCGAGGTTTCCGCCGTCTACTCACCGCAGCCAAGGACAGTCACTGTCAGCTCTTCGGAGCTGTGGTCGCCCATTACAGACATGGTGAAGGGTCGGTATAAGATGAGATTTGCGGTGTAAGTTGTAAGTGATGATTGCACTGGTGCAATTAATGACCTTTTTGTGTTTTTGCTTCTGGCGGAAGGCTAGATTCGGTTTCAGCAAAGAAAATAAGAAGCAGCTTGGTCTGTACAATCAACTTCAGTGTGTAGAAATGCCATTCGACTGCGACGACTTCGGCCTATTAATTTAAAGCGAAGAAAAAAAAAAAACTACTAAAAAAAAACAAATAGGAGTCGAGGGGTGAGTGAAAAGAGCTCTCCACTGGTCACTGATCCGAGATCGTCCGTCCTCATCCACTGAGCTGCCGTTTCTTCCGCGCTAAGCCCACCATGGCGTAGCACTCCGCTCGCTACCTTTCGCACAGTGTTGGTCGATCCCAAAAATACATACCATGGAAACGGGCGACGGCACCCCCGTGGGAAACTGAGTCGCTCGCTCGTTCGCCCTGCAGCAAGGTACCTAGGTAGTAGTAGGTATTAGCTTTCGTGCTCAACAAAGAGCATCTATCTGGTCTCGTCAATGACCTCAGTCCGGGCGTCGCCAGCGAATCCGATAACCATTTCGACTTGATCCTCTAGACTGATTCCGCTGAACCCGACGCCGGCGAGGACTGGCATCCAGCAGACATGGCGGACCCTTTCGAGGTTCGGATGCGCTTCACGGCCCAGCTTCAACATCTCAACGCGTCCGTCACCTCGGCTCAGAAGGCCGCTCAATATGCACTCAAGTACAAGGACATGGATGAGGACCTGCACTCCTGCATACTCGAGCAGCTGGAACGGGTGAGTTCAGTTCAATGCGGAAAATGACAGAGGTTGATGCTGATTTTTCCCCTCCCCGCCCGCTCCCAGAACAACATGAACACTCGCGCCAACATCATGTACTTCATCGAGCATTTCCTGGAAATGGCCCAGAAGGAGAAGCACGTCGACTACGTTCGAATGATGCAGCGCGACATCATTCGCATCGTCGACGCCGTCGCTCCTGATGATGGATCCGGCGCCGCCAACGTCAAGGTCGTCAGAAGGGTGAGTCCCCCACCGGGTGTGCTCATGTTACATGAGCTCGGCTGGGTTTGCTGACGTGCAGACCAGGTTCTACAGGGCCTCCAGCAGAAGAACTTTCTCGAGGCGCGCACCGTCGTCGAGATCGAGGAGGTCCTCAGGGAGCGCGAGACCAGTGCCCACGACGCCGGCCTCTCGTCGCCCGTCAACGGCGACGTCGACATGGGCGACGCGCCGCCTAGCCATGCGCGCCAGTCCAACGGCCGGGCCCCGCGGCTGGAGAAGCGCCAGATCGAGCAGCGCATCGAGGAGGACCGCGAGCGCCACAAGCGTCTCCGCGAGAACATCTGGGCCATTGGCACCCATGAGACCGCCGAGATCGACAAGATCTGGGACGAGACGAGCGACCTGGGCGATGACGATCACATCCTTGCCGAGGAGGAGTTTGTCGCATGCACCCAGGCCATGAATCACTCATGTGCCCCCAAGCCACCTGCTGGTCCCGCCAGTACCCGTGTCGCGAATGGCAAGAAGCATTGAGGGCTGACGACACGGCTCTCACTTTGTCGGCTTCGCATGAGTATTTATTTCTTGGCGTTTAATTCTTTGGAGAGCGGAAAACTGGCGTTCATGGGTTGGTTTCGGCGGCCGGGCCGGGTCTGTGTATACCATTGGTGGTAGTAGTAGTAGTAGTAGTAGTAGTAGTAGTAGTAGTAGTAGTAGTAGTACCGTGTTTTGGGGTTCTCATCAACAGTGGCTCGAGGAGCACTAGGAACGAAGCAACAAGTTCACACAAAGCTGGAGACGGCTTTGCAGCAAGAATGGTGGTGTATGTGTCTTGATAATATTGTTACATGGGTGTTTATACACTCATACACGTCCGTCTAGACCAATCCAATCCAGATGTCCGACAACAATGCTCCTCCCGCCCGAGTTTTACTTCTCCTTCCCAGGGAGTAGGGCGCCCTCGTTTCTCAAATCAGCCAACCAGCCAGCCGTCAGGACGGTTTACTCCATGGTGACGGTGGCGCCAAGCTCCTTCATCGTGGCGATGATCTTCTCGGCCTCGTCCTTGGCCACGTTCTCCTTCATCAGCTTCGGCGCGCTCTCGACGAACTTCTTGCTGTCCACCAAGCTGAGGCCTAGCAGGTTCTTGACTTCCTTGATGACCTTGGCCTTGGCGGCGGCGTCGAAGGCCGTGAGCTTGATGTTGAAGACGCTCTTCTCGGCCGCCGCCGGCGCGGCCTCCTCAACCTCCGCGGCGGCGGCGGGGGCAGCTGCGGGAGCGGCGGCGAAGCCACCGACGGGAAGGTCAGGAATGTTGAGCTTAGACTGCAATTAATGACGGTCAGCATCGGTCCGTATCTCTCTCTCTCTCCCTCCCCCTCTTCCCTTATGACGAGTTCACCCGGGGAATGGATGGATGGTTTGATGCATCACCCCCCCCACCCCCCTCCCCCCGTTCGTCCAAATAGGTGGGGGAGTTGGAGAAGCTTATAAGAATAAAGTTGAGATGCGAAGGAGGAAGTGTAAGACCTTTAATAAGGAACATCTTGTATGAAGCGTGGATTGAGGAGAGTCGGTAAGGGGGAGGAAGCGAAGGGTGGATACGACTAGGAGATGAGGCATAATAGGCAGATAAGGGGATAGAGAGCGTAAAACGGACGATGACGTAGTCGAGGCAACAGATTCCTCTTTCATCGTTGACTGGCGTGGAGCAGTACCGATCGACTACAGATGACAGATGGACAATCAAAAATGGAGAGAAGTACGATCAACGGACTAAGATGAGTAGATGCAAAAAAGAAGAAAATGTCACTAGGTATGTTCAGGAAGTAGAAGATATGCAATACTAGCAACACCAATAGTTAGATTTACTACTCCCATCAACAAAAGTAGCATTGCAAAGAAGGAGCATGAAAGCAGCGCTAGCGGACAGACGCCCGTCCGCGGCGTGTCACGGGGCCC